GCACCCTGGCAAGACCTTCCAGTGAGTTTCTGAGCTAGGCTTAGACTCAATTGTTGTGATTCAAATGTGACTCAATTGTGACTCAATTGTGATTCGATTGCAGGCCAAAAGAGCGAGGAGAGCTGTGGCAAAAGCCAAAGCAAAGTCAAAACCGTGTGCCAAAGCAAAATGCAAAGGAAAAGGCAAAGGCCGTGGAAAAGGCAAAGGGTTTGGAAGAGGCACAGCTTTGGCCTTGCAAGGGCTGGCTCGCAGGCAAGCAGTGTCACGAAAACGCAAGGACCAGGTGCTCGAAGAAATGCCCGGACCAGCAGTGGAAGAAGATCCAGATATCGCTGAACTCAAAGAGGAGTTGGCAAGCCAGCTGTTGGACATGAACGTGGACGATCGACAAGTCCTGATTCATTGGCACTGCCGGCTGAGCCTTGTGTCCATGCTCCCAGTCCAAGAGAGCCCGCCCCCTCACCGGAGCCTTGTGCCGATCCTCCCAGTCCACACACTGGTGAAGGAGAGCCCGCGCCCCCGGCGGAGGAGCCCTGTGTCGATGCTTCCCGTCCACAGTCTGTGCTTGGTGGTGGCGGGGTCGCACACGAGGAAACAAAAGTGCAAGCACAGCCATCCAATGGGACCTTGCCGGATCCAATATCCGGGCCAAGGGACAGTGGAATGGCACAGGCCTCGTCCTCGAGCGGATCAGCCCCTGAGCAGGTCCTTGATGATGCTGCACATCGTGGCCAGGCAACGCAACGTGCTCCGCGCGAGCATGGTCCACACTTGAATAACACTCCCGACTTCCTGTCGGAGTTGGATCCACCCGAAGACTTCAAGTTGCGTCTCAGCTTCAACGATCATCGCTTCAAAGCCGAGATCATGACAAAACAGTATGTGTCAAGGGAGGGGAAAAAGTCTTGCAGCAAAAGCTTTGCTAACGACAGATCAGACTGGAAGCAAGCACTGGCTCAAGTGCATCGCTGGGCGTGGACAGAGTGGTAGAAGGCCAAACCTGAAAGGCAACTGCCGCCTCATTGTCAGCCTGGCACTATCCCTGAGGCTGTCCTGGAACGCCTTGCCCCGATTATCGACGCAATGCCTCCGCCCACAAAGTATGCCAAGTAGCCTCTTCAGTTTTTTTTTGGTGATAAACACATCACAGGGGAAAACATGTCAGCAGGTTGCAGATTTCTGTCAATGTCATGTATGCAAGTATCGTGTTCTTAGCTTCAAGTCTTCGGTCGATTCAAGAAGTCACAGGGAGTGAGTTCATCCAGCCGAGTCCAATGTGTGTGAATCTGCTCCTGCTGTCCTAGCGGCAACATGTTCGATTCACAATTTTGGCTTCAGCTTGTGCGCAGTTGCTGTTCATTCTGTGATTGAGTCTTTACAGTTACGTTGCAATTACAGTTGCTGAATGCCTGAAGTGTGCAATTGAAGATGACATGACATGAATCATGAAGTCTCACCATAGTTATGCTGCAGATTGCCCGGGGAGAAAGCGATCAGCAAAAACAAGCCTTCCTGACATTGTGTCCTGTTAGTTTGTGGAATGTGCTTGATATGCCAGGCAAGCATTGAATCCATTTGTTGCTCAAGTTGGACTAGAGGTATGGTTTAAAGTTATGTGGGACAACAAATCAATGTATTGATGTCAGTGAATCACCAACATGTCCAATTTCCAGTGGCCGTGCCAGCATGTGCTGGGATCATCGCTGGTCTTCAGTGGTAGGGCTGGGCCTGTGAAGCCAGCACGCAAGAAATGCAAAAGGAAAAAGAATGCTGCAGAGTCATTTGAGTTGGGAGGTAGATCAGTGGAGCGCCCGTGTACTCTTCCTGCCTTGAATTTTACAGATACAGTTTCAATCACAGGAACTGATGAAATTGATGATCGGTTTGACACTTGGGTAGAGGACGTCTTCGAGCAAACATCGCGATTGCAATTTTCGCATTTCCTTCCGTTTGCTTCCTTGTCTTTCTCCCCAAGGCCGGAGTCTGTTCAAAGTGTTATGGGTCACAGATTTTGTTATAATTTGAATTTTTCATTAATTAATGTAATACTACATAAACTTATCATCATCCTCAATTGATCTTGCTGGCCAGGTCCACAGAGCCTTGGTGTCACCGGCTCATGGTTGCAAGGATTTTGGTGCAAAATTTCTTGCGCTACGACCAGGACTTCAATGTGGGCAGAGTGGCCATGAAATGGCATGGGCTGATTGGATTGGCTTATCCCGCATTGAAGAACCGAACCATCGAGTGTCAGCTGATGTGCATCATTAGCCGTAGCTATGACAACAGAGCCAAGATTGAAGCATCTTCAATCGATGTGGGACCCCATCAATGTGCGGGGTTGCTGCAATACATTGAATACTATGCAGGGAGCGCCAAACTTTCGAAGAAATTGATCGAATCCGGTCTCCGTGGGTGCAGCTTTGACATACTCTACAATGACGAACACCACATGTTGCTAGCGAAAGGGTTGCGTTTGTTTCTGGATGCAGCCACAGCGTGTGAGAAGAAGGCTTTGCATTGGTGGGGCACTCCGTGCTCTTCTTTTGGCATTATGTGCTCATTTCGTTCCCAACGTGCTGAAAGCAACGGCTGGGAAGGCGCATGGACTGAGCGGGACTTTGTATTGCAGGGAAATTGTCAGGCCCGTGTTTGCTCACTTGGGATTTTCCTGGGATGGGCATGTGAGTGCTGCCCTGTGGTGGAACAGCCCCTCAGCTCCTGTATGCCGCACCTCGAGTGTGTCAAAACAGTTCTATCCTTTGTGGCTTCGAAAAGACTTGCACCTACATGGGTGCCTTTAACGGAAAGTCAGTGAAGCCCTTGCAACTGTGGCATTTGCCTGGGTTTCATTTTGAGAACCTCGCCAGGCCCAAACCAGATCATAATGCTTTCATTGGTCTGGTAAACCGAGGCGAAGACGGCCGTTTCACCGGTGTGCCAGCAGATGTACAGGCTAGTGGGGAATACACTTCGATGTTCGGGGAAGCAGTTGCGCAGATTGTCCGGAATCTATTGTGACGATCCGCTTCGTCAGCCAAAATACGTTTCATAGCTTACTGAGCTGCATGCTTTTTATTATTCCAGCCAATCTGCTGTGACTGGTTTTTGGGGTGTGAATGCTGTGACACAACAGCAACAGCAGGCCATGCAGCAACACAGGTAAAACAGTGCGATGACTGATGAGAAGGTTGCATAACAATTGAGACACAAGTCTGATTTGCTTGCAGCCTTATGTCGATGTGGCTGTCTCAGTGAACACACTTGGAGGAACAGAATTGATATGGCTCTTTCAGTGAATGAGTATGCGCCGGCAAATCAGGGCCTTGGACGTCGTGCTTGCCTTCTTTGCCCCACTTGAGGAGGATTCCTCAAGATTTCCTCAATTCGAATCGTCAACCTTGCCAAGCAATGCCATGCTGACTCAAGATTTCCTCAACCTTGCAGCAACCTGTTTAAGTTGACAGGTTGTTCTGAGCAGTGTGAGGAAACAATAGATGCCATCCACTGTGACCTTGCCCGATGTGCCCATGTCGGTGCAAGGGGTCAGTGGCATGGCACAAGTGAACACACTTGAGGAACAATTTCTTGTTGACAATTTGGGAGTCACACCTTTGCAGCTTCTGCCGGCTCTTGCACAGACGTCCTCAGCCTTGCGAAAACCTGTTGGTGTTGCCGGGCTCTCACCCGAAGAGCCATCAAGTTTCCTTGCTTGGGGACACAAAGGCCAGCCATCTAGTGTGACCTTGCCCGACGTGCCAATGTCGGTGCAAGGGGTCACTGGAATGGCACAGCTTCCGGTTGCTCTGTTCACACACCGGCTTGGACAGAAATAATACTACATTTTTTCATGGTTTTCTCAACAATTTTCAGTGTCTGCAAATCTCCAGTTACATTAATTCTGGACAAACCTACCGTGTCGTAACGTATCCAATAAGTCTTTGTTCAGGTTGACTTCTGATTTTGATAACTTTGGTTTTTGCCAAGCCCACTGATCCAGCCCCCGCGGATCCAACCCTACAAACGAGCATATTGAGTCTCCCATGGAAGCCGAAGATGCGCAGGGGTCTCGCCGAAGATGGTGACAAGGATTGGTCTCTCAGCCGAGAAGTCCGGGTGTGCAGCACAGAAAGCCTGCAGCAACCGACTTGGACAAAGAAGAAAAATGTATCAAAAACAATACGAAAGTGAGTGTCCAGATCATCGATGCTGAGGCGAAGGAAAGAGGACAGCTCGGCAGGAAGGTCCTGCTGCGCCGTATGCAACAGGATGACTGCGGAGAGGGCGGCCACGTCGGAGCCGCAAGGAGCAGCTGACATACAACAAACTTGAATTCTTGGTTTGTAGATGCATACGAAGCATTACCAAGCCACTGGTCGTTCTTAACCTCCCCCTCCCCCCCTCGCGTGTACCCCGCTTTACAACCAGAATCCCCACTTTACAACCAGAACCCCCACACTACAACCCATGAGCCTTTCCGGAATCCCCACTTTGCAACCGGTTGGGAAAGCTTCTTAACAACCCTATTAACTGATAACGTCAAAGCCTAGAATCTCTAGCATCATCCTTCACGGCAGCCATGCAGGTTGGAAAGTGATGTTGGTTGCAATGTGGGCGTTCTTAACCCGAAACCACGACAGATATGTGTGTGTACATATATATATATATATATTTACATGTTAACCCGCGTCTGCTTCCGTGCCGCACCGTATTTTCCATCCGCTTCGGCAAGAGTGGATTCTGGAGCGCATATTTGCGCCATGTGCTGCTATGCAGCAAAGACTCCCGGGCGGGTCGGGAGGGTCGAGAAAAACTGCAGTACACGAGTGAACATGTTGATCATGTTAACCCGCGTCTGCTTCCGTGCCGCACCGTATTTTCCATCCGCTTCGGCAAGAGTGGATTCTGGAGCGCATATTTGCGCCATGTGCTGCTATGCAGCAAAGACTCCATCCGCCTCAACCGGCCAACAGCTAAAGACAGCCCACAGGGCGTAGCAGCTAGTGCGCTGGGGAACCACGGAGAAGGTACGGAAGCATAGCAGAAGTAGCGACGATATTCTTTCTGGCGTCGACTGAAAGCTTCGGAAGCACAGACTCAGCAGAGACTTCTTGCAAGTAATAAGCAAGCGTGGCTTGATGCTGCAGCCTCATCGTCCACTGAATATCTGCAATGGGCTGTTTCCGGCGGTAGGCTGCCACAGCTCCACCACCACGCAAACAGCCCGGCGTGAGCTTGAATTTAGCCGGAATGTCCAGAGCAGCTAAGACACTGTCCCAACGGCGCCGATAAACTCCGGCGCTCCCAGGAAAGAGGAGCTCCCGCGGGGGGAGCGACCCAAGGACCCTTCTGACGAAGCCGGCAAGGTGCTCCTCGAGGTCAATAGCGACATGCTGGACTCGAGCTCCTCGGCCTCGTGTCTTCGGCTCCCTGAAGACAAGGTAGAACCGTCGGTCGTTCTGCAGGAGGTCCCAAGGAGTCAGCAAGTCCCTCCTAGTCGCACCTAAAACCTCACCAATGCGGCAACAGCCCAGAAAACATAAAAGAGTTACGGCGGCCCATCGGAGCCAGCCCCAAGACACACTCAGTCCGATCATAGCCCAAAGAATCGGCTCGGGCATAGGTGTCCTGTGGACTGTTGGCTCCAGTCGCTCCCACTTCGTAAGTAAATCCCAGGCGGGCTTCAGTCCGGCACGGATGCGGGGCACCACTTGAGGACAATGTGCAAGCAACTGGCGGAACTCCTGAAGTGAAGCCCCGCGATCGTACAGGACCTGACCGTAGCTCAGAAGTGCCTCGACGAGGAGGTCGGGGTGGAGAAGGTTTTCCACACATCTTCACCAGCCCCATTGGAAGCCCAGGCCTTGAAAGCAGCCCAAATTCCAGAACGCAAAACAGCTGTCGCTTTTGTCACAGTAGCGACCTCTCGAAGTTGGACAGCATCGCGCCTTCGGACTGCTCTTCGGGGCCCGGGATGGGAGGCTTCGCCGATTCTAGCATTGCTGCACTTGGCACACCGAGAGATGTCGAGAGGCCTGAAATCCCCAAGCCAGCCAGCATCCTGGGCGCATGCAGTCGCCAGGAGAAGGCAGAGTCGTTTAGGGTAGGCCTCGGCGAGCTTGGTCCAGCTGACTCTGGAAGAGCGGTCTCTTCCCCGTAAGACCTGATGACGATGATCCTTAGAGCAGCGCATGCGAGCGCCGCCAAGCTGACAATTAGTCCGAAAGCGGGTCGCCTTCCTCCAGAGTGTACCGAAGACGCACATATCACAGAGAAAATCATCCCAGCGAACAGTCTCCTTCAGGATGTCCCAAGCTCGCTGCCTCCAGAACCAGCTATTTTGAGGGTTCTCGACCCAGAAAAGAATCCCAGCATCTTCAGCAGCTTGCAGGACCTCGAGAGTAAACTCCAGCATCATGTTCCCAGCAAGGACCTTATCCTGCTGATCGCTCCGCAAGTCAGGACGGCCTTGAGGAAACTCCTCGGTACGCCAGCACGGCGTCATCGCCCCGGAAAACGAGCTGCAAACAGGCCCAGCGCTGACGCCGTGAAAGGCTCGGCCCCGAATGAGCCGCAGAAGCTCTTTTTGCAGATCAGTGCGCAGGAGGTCTTCGTCGAGGCCATGGCTCACATCTACGCATAACACCCAGCAGGGAGCAGCAGCAGCAAGAGCCTTAGCAAAACCCCGAGACCCAGAGAAAAGATCGAGCCACCCAGGAGCCGAGGAGAGGGCTGAGGAAAGGTCGCCAAATGCAGAGGAGATGACGAAGCGCCCAGGAGGCATCTCGAGAAGGGAGCGCCGGAGCTCAGGGGAAAGCTCAAATCCACGCGAGCTAGCAGGCCCGGACCTTGGAGCGTGGGAAGCAGCGAAAGGCCCTATGTCACCGCCTACAAAGCTAGGCGGGTCAACCTTCGTAGGACCCTCAACGCAAAGCAAATCCGCCGGGGCTCGAATTGCAGGCAGAGGCTTGGGCACGCCGGCAGAGCTCGGAAAGAAAGGAGGAGAAGCATTAGGCTCAGGAGGCAACACGAATCCCAAGTCGAGGGCTTCAGCACGCTGGGCATCAGAAAGCTTCTCGCAGCCCCTAACCGTGAACCCTATAAGGACAACCCTGGTTCCAGTCCATGGCTGCGTGGCATGAAGGCGTCGAGGATCGAAGCTGACAGCTCGCTCGCTGACTGGGAGGACCTCGCCGTAGTGATCCTTGCCTCTGTGTCGAAGACGCTCGGAGCTGCTTTCAGCTAAGACCCATATACCTCCAGACCTAAACCGAGAAAGGGGAACAACTAGGTTGGGCTCTCCCGAAAGATTATTCTTATCAATGTGTGGCAGGGTCCGCACATTCTGATTGACGCTGAGGGAACTGAAAACGAACCCAGGCTGAGCTTCACGAATCAGCCGAGTGAAAACCTGGATGCAGTTCGGGAACAGCCCCGTCGTCCGGCGGAGCCCAACAATGCCCCCGTGCACAAAGACTCCCGCCGAGAACGAGGCTTCAGTTCTGCTCCACTTTGTGGACCTGGCGGAGAGCTCTTTCGGCAGGCGGCGGAAGATCTCGAGAGCCTCCCCGGCTCCGAGGTGGGCCCTCTGAAGGATGCTGGCAGCCCTCTGCTCGGGCCCAAGTACAGCACGCATCCGCGCAGTAGCGGGGCCTGGGACCTCACCAATTGGGGCGTCGGCCCACAGCTCATTCTCGGGCGGCAGGCCTGCAAGCTTAGATTGGATGTAGCCGTACGAGGGCCTCACCCGATTGGCTAAGTGTCCGGGAATCGACCTCCGAAGCTCTCGGTTGAGAGCGGAGGAGGCAGCTCTCCCTTTCACGAAAGACCCTAGGCTGACCTGGCTGTCCTGCAGGTGGACATATCTTCGCCCCGGGAAATCCTGACCGACTCGCTCCTCCCCCCGAACAGCAGCCCTCACTTCCCCGATGTTTATATGCCGCCGCGCTTTAACCTTCACGGTACGACCGAGCTGCTGGAACTGCAAAGACGAGCAGACTTCCTCCCAAAGAGGGTGAGAGACGTACACAGCTTCAGGAAGCTCCTGCGAATCCGACAGCTCTCCCCGCTCTCGCAGGTCAGCCTGCGCAGGCGAAAGGAGCCGAGCCCAAAGGCCACGCTGCAAACCATGGCGAGTCATCTCAAGGGAGAAACGCTCGGGCACTTGGACTGCCGCACTGGCTTCAGCCGTAGAAGATGCATCAGTAGTCAAGAGCACTGGTGCAGCGGGCGCCCGCAAGTCGACATCGACCTGGCAAAGCAACATGGCGCTGACTAGCAGCTCCGAGCACAGCTCTCCCACAACAGGCACAAAGGCACGCCGGTCTCGGTGGCGCTGCACGCTGTAGACCGAATCGAGGACGCTGAGGAGGCGGCGCCGCAACTGAAGGGCTGAGATCAGGCCCCCCGCGACAACTTCCAACATCCCGACCGAAGTGACGCCTCCTCGGACAAGCTGAAGGATGAACTGAGCGAGAGCTGAAGTGCGCTTCGGCCCTGGCCGGAGAAGACCGCTACGACCATCTAGCCGCCCGCCCCAAAACTCGGCGATCGCGGCGCGAGACACGGCTTTGCTTTCATTGCGAGGAAGCCCGCTGGAGCGATACGACTCAGTGACAGCTCGCATGGTCCGCACGCCTGCAGGCTCGAAGCAAGGGCTCGGGAGCTGACGCGGGACCGGATCAAGCAAAATGAAATCATCAATCAAGAGGCCAGCGACTTGGCTGCCGGGTCTTCCCGGGCGGCCCTGAAGCGTGATGAAATCCCTGAGCCTAAGCACCCCACTCCTAAGGAGAACCGAAAGATGAGCAGTCTGACCCAGAGCTACAGCATTGAGGTCCCCCATTGCCATAGTATTCAAGCTCGGAATGATCCGGCAGCCGCGGAGCGACTTGGAGCACGCCCTGAGATGAGAAACATCCTCAAAGGTCAGCTCGAGCGCGAGGGCGTTCCGTCTTGCTCGCTGTTCACCTACGATGAAGGCGTGATAAAATTCCTTCAAATCTTCTGTGTGAATCTCAAAATTTGAATCATCCGGCAGGTAAATGAATTGGAATTGTTCAAGGGTCCCCAAGGATCGTATCCAACGGGTCTCGGTCTCCTCAGCTTGATTGGGGGGCCGAGCATCGAGCACCATGCGATCCCGCGAGCTATCCTTAGCAACGCTGAACAAACCGTTCCGAAGCCTGGGCCGAATTTCCGATTCGGAAAAAAGACGAAGGCGGCCGCTGTCATCAAGCAGTTGGAGAAGTTCCGAGGTCTGTCGCCGGTCAGCTCTCACGGCGACTCGCGGGATGCTCTCGTCTTCCGGGATGTCCCTGGCAAAGTCAAGGGGTCGGGCGTATGTAGCCCGATTCCGTGAGTCCAAGAAAGGCAGCGGGTCGAAGCTGGGAGTGCCAACGAAGTTTAGCCTTGAAGGCTCGACCGGCAGCACATTGCACGGAGCTGCAAAGCTGAAAAGCACCTCAGACAAGGGGATACCGGAAGCCCGAACCGACTCGGCCTCAGTTTGGCAAGCCAGTAACATGTCATTCAGAGCCTCAAACTTTGCAGCCGCCCGCCCGAGATCGGAGGGCGCATAGGGCCCGCCTGCGTTCCAGGCCGACACTCCGATGCGCAGAGAGTCGACAGCCCTCCGCTGGGTGCTCGTGAGCTGTTCTCCCAGCCCGAGACGGAGATGGCGACCTGCCACGGCCGGCTCGCCAAGAAACAAGAAATTCAAGACCAGCACCACTGCATTGACTCCGAGCTGCTCAGGATCCCTTCTGCCGCCGGATCGCGGAGCATGAAGCTCGGGGTACGGAAGAGGCATGGGCCACACGCCATGCCGCCGGGAAGCACCAGAAGTGCAAGAAGGCCCTCGCTCAGCGCGAGGTAGAAGACGGATGGAATGAAAGAAAGAAGAAAGCTTGCAGGATGACCTGCTCATGCAGTCGAAGAAAGTATCCCAAAGATCCGAAGGAATGACACTTGGCGCTCTGGCCCCGGGGCCAGAAGGAGGCGCTGCACTCTCCGGCATAGGATCCAAAGAAGGGGCGGAAGCGGGAGCCCCGGAAAAAGAGTGCCGAGGAGGCACGGGACCATCAGGGTCCGTCGTTGTGCAACTTACATCGGGCCCAACGCTCCTATCGCAGCCTTCATAGCTTGGCGCAGTTTCGGAGCAGAAGTCGCGGCTACCACCACGGCCCGGCGAAGAAGGGGCATGCAAAAGCTCGAAAGATTGAGGCGGGGAGGGCGGCTCACACGGGAGAGCCTGCACGCTGCAGCCTACTGTACTTGAAAAAGAACCAAAGGTATTGAGGGGAGGGCCTAAACCAGACTTACAACCCCTAGGGGAGCAAGGCTCAACCTCATACGGAGAGGGAGCTGCAAAAGGCCGGCCAAAGGGCAAGCAGGTGAGTGACGGCACCCAAGCTGCGCCACGAATTGACTGGAGCTGCTGTACGGAAAGATCGTAGTGCCGAAGACGTGGTTTCCAGAACGAAGGGCCCGGAGGCAGAAGATCTCGGAGTTTCGGCGGAACCCCATGCGAGGCCCAGCCTTCAGAAGCCAAGCCCAAAGAGGGCTTCCAGCTTACTTCGCAGTCTCCTTCTCCTTGCCCTTTCCGCCTCTGCCGGCGCCCTTCGGCGGCTTCTTGGGAGGAACTTCTGGAGGGACGGACTCTCCGGTAGAGGGCGGCGGGGCTCCTCCTCCTCCGCCTCCAAGGTTGCGTTTTGCTGTGTGGTAGGCGTCGCGTTCGCGAATGCGACTCATGTAGAGCGAGATCCACCTCGGGTCGATCACACGACTCTGTCTGGATTCGAGAGGGTCGAGCTGACGTGGCCGCTGAAAGCTTGAGAACGGCGGCTGGATGTCCATCGAGAACTCGCTGGCAAGAAGCCAGCTTCCATTGTCTATCGCTGCTTGGTCTAAAGCAGCGACTGCTAGGAGCGCGACTGCTTTCGCTTGCTCGCTGTTCCCGCTGTTCAAGAGGTCGATGATCGAAGCAAGGGTCCAAGCCTGCCGGATAGGACCGGCGTACGGTTGCAAGTGGCTTCTGTGCTCGACCCATCCCCGCACTGACAGCCGCCTCTCCTCCTGATGCGGCCCAGACTGAGCTCCCACAAAGTCGTCCATCATCAGACCTTCTATGGAAGCCGAAATCTGCTCTGGGGCCGAGCGAAGGATGCCACGCAGCTTCTGATAGGCCGCTGTTTTCGAGCGACCGCTCGAACCACTGGCTCCCATCGCATCTGGGGCCCCACCTTCCGCTCTTTCCAGAATGTCCTCGAGGTCGTTCTTCTTCTCCCTGTCTTTCTGCATCAGCTTGAGGACTTGCCCGATTTGGACAACTGCCGTATGGACGGGGTCTCGCCCCCCCCCCCAGATTTGCAGATCCACCTGCGGGCAGCAGCTCGGGGTCGTCGTCGGATTCGTCCAGCGGGTCGTCTCGCGCCAGAGGCAACTTTGTTCGGGCCTTTGCTTTGGCGCCAGGAGCAGCGGAGCTTTTCAAAGCGAGGCGAGACATCCGCACCAGCTGGTCCTCTGGAACTCCTGCCTTTCTGGCGGCCTCCAAAACAACAGGATCGAGTCCAGCAAGCAGAGGCAGCCCAGCGGCCTTCGGAGCCGGAGCAGATGGGAGAGGTCCTACGCCCGCCCCAGGAAGATGCTCGGCTGGACCACTCAAGGGAACCCCGTCCACCAGGGCTTCCAAGCTGGCCTGGCCTCCAAACTCGTCAAACGATGCTCCCAGGATTCCTCCCCATCGCGGGGGGCGCCACCGCCCTCCAGCTGAACATCCTCTGCCGGAGTCTGAAAGGCGTAGTGCTCGGATGCTATCGCTGACAAGGCAGGACCGTAGGGATTCAAACGCTCCGATGCTCGAGAGCCAAAGCCCAAGAACGGCACATCCGGCGACAACTCGCCTTCCACAGCGAAGTCCACCAGGTCCTCGAGAGCGGGGTCCAACATGCCCAGCCAAACCTTCAGCTTCACGCCGTGTCGCATGGCAGACGGATCGTCCGCCGCCGCTGCCAGGACCTCGGCCAGCACAGTCCTGCTGAGCGCAGTGCGGGGCAGGTACCTTCGCCCAGCCGTGCGATGCCATGCCGTCTGGGGAACCGCCACTAAAAAACTGCCTTCAAACTGGGCGATCACAACGATGGAGCAGGACAGGGTCGGCCCTGCCTCCGCTTCAATCCTGAGCTCCCCGATCCGAGGAGAGGAGCCCTCCAATGAATGTTCGAGGAGCCTCTGGAGGGAAAAGCGCTCCCCTGCCTCCTCGTCGCCTTCAGACCCTGCTTGGCTGGCCATCCAAGCCAGCTGCAGGCCAACTCAAGCCGGCCTCCCGGAGGGCGACCGCACACTCTGCCTGACTGGGCAGGCCCACAAAGATGCTCTGCCCTTTGTCCGGGCCACGAATGCAGAGGGCCTTCGCAGGCGCAAAGGCAGAGAAGACACAAGGCTCAGAGAAGCGCCGACCCTCAAAGTCAGCAAGGACAATGTAATACTTGGAAGACAGGGTGAGGGCACTCCTGCCCGATGTACGCAAATGCCCTCCGTCCAGGGCCCTGCGGAGGAACTGGCCAACCTCCTTAGCCACGGCCGTCCGAAAAGAAGAGTTCGGCGGCCCAGGGTTCGACCGCGAAGAGCGATCCGGGAAGACCTCGGAAGCGAGGTCGTAGGCCAGGGAGAGATCCACTCCACCTGATCCTGGCCGATCGGGGGGAGAGAAAGCCCGGGAGAGATTGCCTCCTCCTGAACCGGGCAGGCGGGAAGGCAAAGGAGCCTGGGAGAGATTAACTCCTCCTGAACCAGGCTGAGGAGACAAGGGAGGACCCCGGGAGAGCGAACCTCCACCTGATCCGGGGGAGGGAGAAGAGGGCCCCGCAGCGGGCCCGGGCAAGGGATCCACCAGCTCAAAAGCTGCTTCTTCCTCAAGCGCCTGGATGCGGCTCTCGAGGCGGTTCAGCAGTCCACGCACCTCAAAGAGCTCTCGCCTCAGAGACTGAAGCTCCAGGAGCCTCCCACTCATTCAAGGACCCTGTAGAGCTCGGTAACCGGGACTCGCAGCACCCTCCGCGCCTCTCTAGCAATGAAGAGGCGGGCCAGAAAGGCCAAATCCAAAAGGGGCCAAAGAAGAAATCCACAGCCGAGGCCCAAAGCAAACGAGCTCCAGTGGATGGAGGAAGGCTCGGGAGGAAGAGAGGACAAGCCGAAAGAAGGAGGGAGAAAGGCCTCGGGCTCCGGGGGCACAACAATGGACCCTGAACCCGAAATAAAATCCCTCGCAATCGTCAACAGAAGCCCGGCAAGACCTCCCGAAGCACCCCCAGCAACTAAAGGCAGGGGCCTCATCCAAGGTTCGAGAAAAACTTGAGCCAAACAAGTGAACATGTTGATCATGCGTGAGGGTTTGGTATCGATGATACTGTTTAGATGCTCACCTCAGCGAGCGTGTTGTTGCATAGTGGTTTGCACTTTACGCACTTGCGGCCGTCAAGCTGTATCCAACTCACTCCCTGCAGGCAAACTCGGACCGAGTGTGTTTGTATTGGGGAAAGCAGAAAGAAAACATGAGTTTTAAAAACGGATTCTTTTCTCACCAGAGCGCAGGTATGCATTTTTAGTTTATATATATATATGTATATATTTATATTAAAGCCAATACATGAACCCGAACATTTTACGACATTTGATGTTGTATTTACGGTTTTACGCCATACAAGTAAATTCAAAAAAAGATTTTCCTTTTTTGTGTGCTTGTATTGAGGAAAGCATACATAAAACATGACTTTTTGGAACCCCAGCCCACCGACCCACCACAGGCAAGGCTAGAGTGCAAAGCGCAGTAACATGTAACCAAATTCCTACCCTCGAACTCCACAGCACCACGCTTCACGGACTCTTTTCTCACCAAAGCGCAGGTATGCATTTTTATAGTTTATATATATATAATATATATATGTATATATATGTATATTTATATTAAAGCCAGTACATGAACCCGAACATTTTATTACATTTGATGTTGTATTTACGGTTTTACGCCATACAAGTACTTTCAAAGATTGATGTATTTGTTTGTGTGTTTGTATTGGGGAAGTCATGAAGATAATATGACTTTTTGAAACCCAACTCACCAACCCACCACAGGCAAGGTTAGGAGTGCGGAGCACCCACAGACGACAAAGATCAAAGATATCATGCGACGAAGCAATTTTAGGGATGTTCGAGATCTTAGTAGTTTGGGGCCACGGTCGGATGAAGGCCACGTAAAACACTTTAGGGGGTCAAAGACCTTGTAAAGCGGGTTAATCTCCCCCCCCTCCCCCCCAGCCCCCCTTCCTTGTGTTGCCCCGTAAATGCATAGGAGGCCACAGGTCGCTAAATGCACGATCGTTAAATGCACGAGTAATGCACGATATATCGCGGCGCCTGATGCACGTGTAACCTTCATGTGCAGGGGGTTCCAAGGTCGGCAACTTGTTCAACCGGAGTCGTTTGATGGGCCAGGGTTTCACAGGTGGTATTTGGGGCTGTTCTTTGGATTCCTGGTAGGAACCCATGTTTTCAGCCGGCCGTGGTATAGATGTTCGTGTTGCCTGTTCGTCAAGTAGTTCTCGCATACATTCAACTCCTTGCAGCCAGCGGATCAAGTCTCCAGTGTTATCCCCAACCACCACTACCTCTCCTTCCTTGGTGCGAAAAGCATCGATTGAAGCTCCGTTCGCTAGCGTGAGCGGCAAATGATGACTGCGTGATGGTCGGCGGTTCTCCTGTCTGAGAATCTCATTCGCACCTGAATCCAGCAGCACCGCTCCATCCGAAGTGGCACCGCGCATCACGCTGTTGATTTCTGGGATATTATCATAATCTGATGGCATTGACACAGTCGGTGTCCTCGCTGCCGGCACTCCAGAATGACTTGGAAGGAAAGTTATGGGACTTAGGGTAATCCAAGGCCTACTGGGGTACACGCATAGTCCAAGCAGGATGTCATTGCGCTGCCCATCAGACACGCACACTGCAAAGCATCGTGTGAACGACACCGCTCCTGCTTGAACCTGCGCATCTTGCGTGAAAGTGATCCGTTGCTCATGCCCGATTGGAATCGGCTCATCAGGTGGTGCATGTCTCCTCCTGGACGCTATCAGCGCCCACCAAGCTCTCGCCTCCATACATTTTTCCCCGATGACTGGCACAAAAGGGTCCTCAGCGTTCATTCCTAGCACCCCTGGCGCTAACCAATTGCGAAAAAGGACTCCTTGCCTCGATGAACACACCATACCAAGCCGCGCTGCGGTGGGAGTCTTCCAACGGCTCACTCGACATGGTTGACATTGGGGACAGGGTTGGGCAGGATGCTGGATTGGAGGCCTCTGCATCGGAACCCTGACTACCGTCCCCCACTCCGTCATGCTGGTGAGCATGCTGTTCCTCTGCAGTCTCAGGAACGAGATTTTCTAGATGCCTAGATGCCCCATCCAACTCGGACCACCTCTGCTGAAGATCGTTGAATGTTCTATCCGATCCCGGGCGCTCGGGTGACAGAATAAGGACACGACACCTGGGATGCGAGGTATTCGTTTCGGTAGCAACAAGGAATCCTGGTTCATGCAAGCTCGTGCGGCAAGTCCAAGCTGAAACAACCTGGGCCTCGATCATTCCATGATCCGCATACATTTCCGCCCATTTCCGTCCCTTGCCCCTCAAGCCATCCTTCATACCAAATCTCAAGGTTGCTTTCATTCAGGTTGATCCACAAGTCAGCTTCCAGGTCCGGGCGGGCACGGTCCAAGTTTTCCGCATTTGTGAAGTAACCTGTCATGCCGTGCGGGTGTTGTTGCCACAACCTGTACTGATCAATCGTCAGCTCACACATCCACAACGGCCACGACGGTGTCTGACGATGCGGAAAAGGATTACTGCTAGGGGGCCCAGACAACAACATCCCGGCAAACGACGACACCGCCTTCGCTGCAGCCTTTGGTTTTGCCTTTGCACCCGCCTTTGCATTCGCCTTCTGAGCTTCCGCTCCGATAAGCGCTGGAGTACCCTCAGTGTTCGCCTTGCTTGCCCCCGAGGGGCTCTCGTGCGCATACGGACAAGAATCACCTAATCTGCACCCCGACTTACGTGGATGAAAGATGCTCTTGCGCTTTTGCTTATCCTTACTATCGGGCTTGTCGGGCTTAGCCTTACCCTTAGGGGTTCCCTTAGGGGGATTCGGAATTCCAGCGTTTGCTTGCTTTCCTTTTCCCTCGGTTTTGTTCTTACCCTTGCCTTCACCTTTTCCTTTGCCCTGATCCCCAGACTTCCCCTGATTGATAACGGCATCGCTGTTGTTTGACAAGTTGTCGTTCGTCATCTCATCTGCCGCGATCTGTCTCAGTCTCAGCTCTTGCTCAACTGCATCAAGCATCATTACAACGCCCTGAGGTCTCGCAAGATGGATGTCCGGATGAAGACGCACCAGTGAAAGCCTAGTTCGGATGCTATCATGTTTTCTTTCAAGAGTCTTCAACAGTGTTTGGATTCCTCGAATCTGTTCGTAAGCTGGAATTTCGGGCAACTTCAAGGATGCGATACGGATTTTTTGCAAGGCGCCAACGCCTCAGCATCTCGATTGCTTCCCTCGCAGTGGTCACTGGGCTAAGCTGACGAAGAAACTTCACAAGCGTCTGTTGCTCTTCAATCCCTCCCGGACGCACGCACAAGTAAAGCTCACCGAGCAACCTGAAAGAATCTATGCCCTTCTCATTCTCATCAGCCTCTAAAGCCGGGGTTTTGATACTATCGGGGAGGACCCTAAGGAGCACCATGCCTGCAAGTCATGCCGCTCTTGAGCGCTTGAAGCACTGTTGGATATAGTCAGCAAACCTATGATGCACTGAGAACGCCAAAGTAATGCACTGTTTTTCCAAACATCAAACCTCTAAGCCAATTCCACAGGCGTTCCAACCCCATCCTTAGGATCAAAGCTCGGTACTTCTAGTAGACACTTCCATCGCTCATTCGGGATATAATCGAAGTATCTGCACTCACTGCGGTGCCCAGTGCAGGCACTGACGCTTGAGGAATTGCATTGCCTGATCCCCCCGCATGTCCCTCGGATTCCGCTGGAGGGTCTGGGACCTCTCCTGCAATTGCCTCCGGATGAGGCTGCGGCGATGAAATCTGAAAGAACTGCGTTTGAGCATTACTTCCCAATGGGATCTCGGTCAGGCTAGGGTGGAGACCTGGCGGAGCATCAAAGGATGGCCATTGCATTCCGCTCTCAGGCGGCCAATCCCACTGAAGCCACGGTCCCTCCCGATCACTATTAAACTTGGGTGCTGATTCCAGTTGTGCCAGCATTTGTTCTTGCTTATGCTGAAGCCCTGACAACCCCCTTTCTAACCCCGGAATCTGCTTTTCTGAAGACTTGAATCCTGAACAGCCTTGCGTGCGATGCTGTCAAGTTCGTCAACTCGGCCGGCCAATGTTTCAAGGGCTGTCTTAGTTGCCGGATCAGCCTTGCCCACAGCAGAGATGCATGCTTGATACACCGTCTCTGACCTTTCATCATTTCGGTGCTGTCGCTCCTGCATTTTTGCAAGGTCTGCTTCAATCCTCGTGATGTGGGCCTCTACATGGGCCTGCCACTGCACAGTGCTCATTCTGGCACGTTCCAATGACGAAACCCTCTTCTGAAGATCCTCCCTAGAATCAGCCAGGTGAGTTCGTCCTTCAGTCAACTCACTGCGCAAACCCTGGTTCTCCGCTATGAGATTTTGCAATGTTCTCGTATGTGCTACACCGGACTGCTGCGTACGCTGCAAATGCTCCCGCAGCTCATTGTACCCTGTATTCAAGGATGTTGCTGCGCTTCCTAGAACATGAGTCCGATACTGCATGCGATCATGGAGCTCCACAACCGCAGAGCGAAGATCCTCAAAAATTGACGCGTCAAACGCACTCCTGATTCCTCGCCAGGCGCCCATAGGCCTGCGGCAGCCTTCTGGCTCACAAGGGGCCCGCCTCTCGGGGCGGTCACGGACAGCACCAACTCCTGGCTCTACGTTCCTTTATTGCACGCCGCAGCCGCAGATCTCGCGCCTTCTGCGCTCGACGCTTGGCGAGCCGATCCCCGGGCAACCAACTGGTGGGAGCAGGCTCGCCAGCTCCTCGCGGCCTCCGCGCCCGTCGCCCCGCAAACCCTCATTGCAGCCCTCGCCCGCACCGCCGAAACCGCCCCTGCGCACGCGCACCATCTGCCCGATATGGTTGCGCGCATCCACGATGCGGGCCTTCCCAATGGCTCCCTCGTGCATGCCGGCTGGGCGGTGCGCCAGCTGCGAGAGCCGGATGGCTACCTCCTGTCACCGGTGCAGGAAGTTCTGCTCGGATGCTACGGCGGCCATGTGCTTGCATCGACGCTCGACCGTCATTCGGACTGCTTCCGTCCAGCCCCTGCCGCAGCAGCCCCAACTAGTGATCCTCCGCCCGAGGTGCCCTCCACAGCAGAGCGAGTGCAAGACGACGCCGAGCCAGCCTCCCCGCCTGCCGAACCACCCGCAGCAGCAGACGAGGATGCCTTTCTGGCCGCCGCTGCCCAACGCGCGCGCCAACAAGCGACCGCTACTGGCCGGGGCACTGGACGGGGCCGGAAACCGGCGCGGACGTGGGCGCGCTCGCTCCCCGCATGCTCCTGTTCCGCTCGCAGGGTGAGTCGCGCATTCCGCCGGCAGAGCTGGACAGGCGGTGCGAACTGTTCCGCGCCGGGCAGTGGTCGGACCTCCTCCGCCAATCCGCCGCCGCGGCAGGGACAGTACCCAGCCCACCCCGAAGTGACTTCTGATGCACAGCGGGCGCGCCGTGCCGCCGCCCTTGTCCACATTGGGGAGCTGTCCGCCGCAGGGCATGCCCTCACCGCTCAACCTTTAGCCGCTGGCACCCTTGACACGCTCGCCGAGCTTCGTGACCCGGAGCGGCGGCACCCCGTGCCGTATGCCCCCGTGCCCGACGGCGTCCTTGGACACGTGCCTGCAGAGACATGCCCGCTGCCCATGCAAGACTTCCTCCGGGGCCTGCGGAGTGCCTCCTCCCCTTCGCGCGCCAGTTCTACGCTGACCCCAGCACGTACACGTGGTATGACGACGATGGACGTGCTCACGACATCTCCCAAGGAGAGGGCGGCGAACAAGGCGATCCGCTGATGCCCGCGCTGTACGCGCTAGCGCAACATGAAGCGCTCTGTGACCTCCACAGCCAGCTTCAGGACGGGGAGGCCGTGTTCGCGTTCCTCGATGACACATATGTCGTCGCCGCGTCTGATCGCGTCCGCACACTTTACGATTCTCTCGCGGCTGCCCTCTGGGCACGCATCCGCCTGCATCAGGGCAAAACTCGGATCTGGAATGCCGCCGGGGAGGAGCCCCCAAACATTGGCGACATTGCAGGACATGAGGAGAGCGTATGGGTCGGTGACTGGACTCTCCCGCCCGAAGCCCAAGGCCTCACAGTGCTCGGCTCCCCGCTCGGGCACGATGCGTTCGTCGCGCGCCAACTTCGGCGTAAGCGCGACGACCAGGACCGGCTCCTCGAACGCATTCCTGCCGTCGATGACTTGCAGGCAGGGTGGCTCCTCCTGCGCTCCTGCGCCGCCACGCGCGCGAACTACCTTTTGCGCATCCTCCCCCCCCACCTAACCGCCGAGTATGCAGCGGAGCAGACGCAGCCGTCGCCCGGTGCCTCACCACGCTGCTGGAACAAGGGGACGCCCCCCTGCCGCCCAGCAGCCTTGCCACCGCCCAACTTGCCCAGCGGTTCGGGGGGCTCGGTCTCCGCTCCGCCTCCTCCGACCGCTTCGCTGCGCACTGGGCTTCTTGGTGCGACACGATGCCCGTGATCCAAGCCAGAGCCCCCGCAGCAGCCGCCCGTCTCCGCGCCGCCTTGCAAGGCGACGGAGCCTTGCCTTCCACGGCCGCGGCGACGCAAGCCCAAGCACCCCTGGGTACGAAGCACCGGACTGGGCAGTCATCTCCTCCGGTGCCGCCGCGCCCCCCGCACCAGACCGAGCTGAAGACCCGTGGCCGTTCAAGGGCTGGCAGCGTTCGGCTGCCCGTGCATGCGATCAGCGCGCGTACGAGACGCATCTTTCTCACCTCACCTCTGCGTCCCGTGCGCTGCTGCTGTCCCAAGCCGGGCCCTTCGCCTCCCGCGCCCTGAACCTCCTGCCCACCCGCGAGGATGCTGCGATCCCCAGTGCGCAGTTCCGGGTCCTTTTGCTGCGGCGCTTGCGCATGCCCCTCCCGCTTGCACCGCGCAGGTGCAGCTGCCACGGGGAACTCGACCCTCTTGGTGACCACCGCACGGCCTGCGCCACCTCGGGCGTTCTGTCCACTCACGCGCTGCCCCTCGAGCACGCCGTCGCGCGGGTATGCCGTGAAGCTGGCGCCAGAGTGGCACGCCACGTCAGGCTCGCGGACATGAACCTGGATGTGCCTGTCTCCGATGAGCGGCGCATCGAGGTCGTCGCCAATGGCCTCCCCCTTTGGCACGGCTCGCAGCTTGCGCTTGATGCCACCATCGTTTCTCCCTTCACCAGGCGCGGCGAAGCCCACCCGCGCGCCGACGTGCAACCAGGCTGCGCGGTCGCTGCCGCCGCACGGCGCAAGCGCTTCCAGACCTACCCGGAACTTGAGAGCGCACGCCGCTGTCGACTTGTCGTGGTTGGTGTCGAGGTCGGCGGCAGGTTCGGCGCCGAAGCCGTTCAGCTCCTGCGCCTCCTCGCCCGCCACCGCGCAGCGTCGGTCCCCGCCCATATGCGGCCCGCCGCCGTCTCGTCTTGGGTCGCCCGATGGTCCGGTATGCTCGCGGTCGCGGCCCAGCGCGCCTACGTGGCGACGCTCCTCGAGCTGCCCCCGGCTGCCGAGTTGGGTGAAGGACCCATGCCCGACTTGCACGAGGTCCTCGCCGACGCGCGCTGGGACTAAAACGGTTTCGCGCGAAGCGGGCATGTAGGCCGCCGTTGCACTGTGACCGCGCTCGTACTGGTTGCAAAAAAAAACGCACTTGCTTGCGCAAACTGCTCAAGCACCTGGACACGAATGTCAAGGCGCGTAGCTGGCATCAGAGTCGCTGTAGCGGTGCCACTTGGGCTCATGACCTGTGATTGATTGTTGATTGCAGCCTGAGGACTGCCATCTGGCACTACAGAATAGTGACTGGGAATCGGCGACAAGAGATTAACCGTAGGAGTCTGATCCATCGTCTCTCGCGTCGTCGTCTGATGTCGTTCAAAAAGAATGGGAGAAACTAAACCACTAAGATAACCGAAAAGGACCACGATCACTAAACCAGAATATCACAAGATCGTGGCCTGTGGGCCACGGTCCTTCTCCCAGAGAGTTCTGAATGCTCAGCTCGGCTGACAAGGAATAAAGTCAATGCAAATGTCAGGCAATCGGACAACGACTCCGCGATCTGCAATCCTTCCCACCCCTGAACCTTCAATCATTCATCCCCCAAAACCCCTCTCGTCTTCACGATTTTTCTCAGACTTGAGCCACGTTGTTTCGCCGTGTAAAAGCTCCTGACATGCTTAGCCTTTGAGACAAGCATATGTCCTGATCGTGCAAGCGTGAACGTGTTTCCTACGGCTACACTGCACTCTGCCACTTTACAGTCCTGCCCCGTAGGACTTTCAACCCGTTTTCTTTTTTCGAGGTCTGCATCTGTTCTTATCCGGCCAGTGCCTCATCTAGAATGTAGCAGAACATGCACGCACAGCAACATGTGTATGAGTGTGTGCGTGTTGAGGACGAACGGTTCAAAAAGAGTGGTTCGCGACTTTAATTAGATACGGTAAAAGAAGTCAGCTCAGCACAACATGTGTTTCAAGAGCATGTGGGATCATTGTGCTGGGTTCCCCTTTCGGCCACGATGCCTTCGTCGTGCTCCATCTCCAGAACAAGCGCGCCGAGCACGACCGCCTTTTGCAGTGCATCCCCCACCTTGATGGATGATCCGCAAACCGCATGGCTGCTCCAGTCTTGCATTGCCGCCCTCCTTGATAACTTGCGGCGTAACTGTCCCCACACCTCACGGCTGACTACGCGGCAGACCATGATTCCGCCGTCGCAAAGTGCCTTGCCAACCTATACTTGAGCGAGGCGCAGCGCCGCCACGCTGCTCATTGGGCTTCCTGGTGCGACACTTTCCCCGTCGTCCAGGCCTGCGCACTTGCGCCGTGAAGAGCATCGACCCTGTAAGAATTAGGCGGCCAGAGCATTGTCCAGCGCCGACGCGGTCGAAGCGCCCGAGCTGGATGTGTGTGCGGTTTGTTGGTGCTGGCACGTGCTTGTTCTTGTTTTCTGCACTTCCGAATAGTTGTCTTGTTCTTGTCAAGTTGTTGCATTATGTATTTGTAAAACGAGGTGAATCATAGCAGCCATGCAGGAGGCAAATATAGCAGCCGAGGCTAGCGTACCTATGAGTGTGCCGCATGAGGTCATTGCTGCTAGCACCATCAGCCTTACGGCGTTCAGGACCCTTCAAGCACACAGTTTCTTCACACAAAGACCGACGGTTCCTCGCCCAGTTTCCCACGCGCTTGCGCCAAGCCTGTGCCACGCAGGATCCCTTCGTCATGACTGGTCTGGTGCTGTTGTTGTTGCTGCTGCTGCTGATGCGGTACCTCCGTTTTTCCGACAATCCATGAGAGAAAAGCCACCTTGTGTCTGCAATCTGGATTTCGTTCCAGCATGCAGTATGTGTGCGCAAGCCAGGCCACGGCAGAAAAACCATGAATCCATAATGCCATAATGTGAGAGGATTGCGGCATATCAACCAAAACAAGGCTTGCGTAGGTGCGCACTTCAAGGCAAGTGCGCACGTTCCATGAACCAACTCAACCAGCTACCAAACACAGATTCGGTTGCCCGTAGAATCCTACCGCTTGCATGGCTGGGCCCACCCATTTCAGTGGACGCGTGGCTGGGCGGCAAAATGCAGCAAGATTTCAGCCATATTTTAATCGCCAAACGACAGGATCACCAGACTGGTTTCGACGCTTGCTGTACAGCATCAAGGCCGCTGCACCATGTGTTTTCCAGGGTATTATTTGATTGATGCTTCAACCTGAACATACCCGTCAAAAGCATTTCCGTCCAAGCTCGCTGTGATTTCAGGCCGGGTCCGGGTAAGTAGAATTTCATGGAGCTCCGCCGGAAAAGCATATTCCTGGCCAGACTTGCCGAGCATCTTGACCGTTTCGACGACATGGTTGAACACATGACAGCTGTGGTGAAGGGTAGACCGCAGTTGACACAAGAAGAAAGAAATCTTCTTTCTGTTGCTTTCAAAAACGCCGTTAGTGCCCGACGTTGTGCTTTGGAGCTCGCACGAAGAGATGAAGCGCGGGCAAAGTCAGATCCGCAGGTTGCCGTTTATGTGCGCCAGTACATGGACCAGGTGAGGGATGAACTGGAGCATCTTTGCCTCGCTGTACTCCACCTGTTGGACGCTTCGTTGATCCCCGCTGCACCGGACTCGGAATCATTAGTCTTCTACGTCAAGATGAAGGCTGACTACCACCGCCACATGGCACAGTTTGGGCAAAGGACAGCCTACGCACGAGAGAAAGCTCGACGAAGCTACGGCGAAGCAGAGTTGCTGGCCGTGAGTTTGTCCGTGACTCATCCCGTTCGGCTCGCCCTGGCGCTGAACTACTCGATTTTCTTGCGGGAGCTAATGCTGCTTGGCTTGTCACACTGCACCAGAGGAGGTTTTAGTGCTCCAGTCCGGTTGTTGTATTCAGTGTTATTTCGGTATGCAAAATTTCGACCAGACTCACAGGAATGATGTGGCAGCGGCGCGGTCGAAGGCGCGCAGCGCCTTCGACGGTGCCCTCACGGAGCTCGATCGCCTGGATTCGGCGGAGGCAGCTGCAGATATCGCAACATTTCTTACTAAGTGTGCTCATGTCCCTGGCATCGTTCCACACGTGACAGGACCACTACAAAGATTCGACGCTGATCTTGCAATTGCTGCGGGACGCTGCAGAGCCAAATTTGCTATTCCATGCTTAAGCAGTAACATCGCCGATGTGTCGATGTTTTCCGGAGTCTTCCACAACTTGCTGGCCTCGCTACATGGAGCAAACTGCGAAAGATATCCGTCAAGCATGATGAGCCGCAACGCCTTGCAGAGCTGGACCAGAGCTGAAGCAACGAGCGGTGGGCCACTGCTTGGCAGACCATTGATGGAGAGAGTCTGCACAACAGACTTTTAGGTGATGTGCGTGATTTGCAAGATGGGAAAATGCTCACAGGGTCTGAAAAGCTAGAGGCTAGATGCGGAGGCAAAGACTCTGAGCATATCAGTTGCAGCAATGTTCAGGCGATTGGCTGGTGTGCCACCTATCCTTACCATCCTTCTGGTCATTTTCCTCTCACTCAGTGCTGTGTATCATGGCCTGGGGTCCCAGCTCGCTGGCAGCTTTGCCGTGCTCCGCGATTGCTCAGCCCAGACCTAGCTCAGTGACTCTGGGAATCTGCGTGGTGTTGCGGGAGATTGTGTTTACCATCTCTGGAACACACTTTGCCCAGAGGTTTGTCATAGCCCCCTTCTGAAGTGCTGAAGCTGCTCCGAGGCTGGATCCATCCTGCTCGCTCCCCAGCTCGGCCCAGAGTTGTGACCTTTGTCGAAGAAACTTGCTCAAGTCTTCAGTAGAAACCGAAGCAAGCTCAGATTGGTTTCTGGGAGCACGGTCCGATAGAACTGGTGCTCTTCAGCTGGAGACTTGGACTCCCAGACGAACACGGCGGCAATCTCTGCATGCATGCTCTGCTTCTGCACTGCTAAGGCACAGAAGTGGCCTGCTTGCTGGTTCGCCTGAGCTTGTATGCATTAGTCCGGATGAGTTGAGTTACGTGCAGTCATCAGAGTCTTGGTTGGGATGGGTTTCTCTGGAGGGGGCGGGGGTGCCGCAGCCTGATCCGACTGCCAGATCAGTTACCTTGCGGCAGTGCTGCGAGGCCCAGGCGGGGGCGATGTCAAGAGTCAAGACGTGCTCAGACAGCTCGCCCCGACTCCCACATACTTCCCGAGTCCTTTGCAATGCCGTCAGGCTTCGTGCCGTTCGGCTGGTGCCCAACCGAGGAGGTGCCGGTGACAAACATAGCTCATGTGTGTCTCTGCCTGTTGCTGTTTCATGGCAGTATGCATCTCTCAGACGGCTGTGCAAAGGCCGTTAGCCAGTATGAGAGGCATGAAGCGACTGATGCAGTTTAGACTTCGAACCTGTAAGATCGCATCGGGTAGCTCATCTGCACTCATGGCGGGTACAGCTTAACAAGCTCACGAAAGGGAGACCTGTTGGGATCGCAAGCCTCACGTCGCAGTCTTGCAGGTACTGCAGCATCCATTCCGGCAGCATGTGGTAAATCGCCTTACAACTTACAGGTTTGGAACAAGAGCGCAAGGAAAGATCAAGCGGATCTGCTGCTGTGTTCCCATCGGTGTCGGCAGAGATGTAGACTCGCAGACTGCCATGCAACGATGCCATAGATGCGACACCAGCCTGTGAGTTGCGTTTCGGGAGCAGCCAGAGATCGCACCTTTCAAGGACATCCGATGTCGCTTCAGTTTAAGTTTAAGTGAGGGAAGTGTGATCGTAATTATCTGATAAGAGTAGTAACTGTGCTCTTCCAGTGGTGGTGCATTTGGCATTGGTGTTCAGGAGCCCGATGTTCTGGCCTGTGCAGACTCCTCTGCGCTGCTAGCGCTCTGAGTCTTGCGCTGCCTCCCAAGAACTTACTTTGCCAGTTCTCTTCACAAGGTGCCGGAAACGGGTGTGTGAGGCATGTTGGGGTGATCCGGCACTGCATCGACCGAGCGGCCTTTGACAGAGCCGAGCATCTCTGGGCTGTGAAAGCGCCCGGCGATGGTGCGTATCGCCTGAGGCAGCTGCCCGAAGTACTCCCACTTTGCTATGGAGCCGGTAGGAAAGGCAAACTCCAGAACTTCCAAAACGTCCTCACGGAAAAGGATGGGGCCTGTGAGCCGGGCTTTAGCTTGCTGCTACTGGCGCCGAATGTGACCTCCTCAAACGTGCCACAAGACGTCCGCGATGCAGTCCAAGGCTTCGAGGGGTCCTTCAAAGAATATGAACTCAATCTCGGCTACGCGAATTTCGATTACAAGGAAGTCTTGACGCACTTGCTTCCTGCGCATGTGGCCGTGCCCATGGGCTACGAAGTGGTTGGGCACATTGCTCACTTCAACTTGCTTCCAGAGCATTGGCCACATCGCCATGTCATCGGCCAGGTCGCCAGCGTCTGAAGGATCAGTCCTCCTACTGCTTGGTGTTCCGGCATCTCTTACTAGATCAAGTCTCCTTGCTGCAGCCCTGTCGCAGGTTCTGTTGGACAAGGCCAGGAATGTGCGAACCGCCGTTGCCAAGAAGAGTGCGGTCACAGACGAATTTCGCACGTTCGACATGGAGGCACAGTTCCCTGCAGCTGTGATGTCTCGTCGCAGTCAGATCCTTCGCTTTTTTGGGGTCCGTGCGCTCTCCGATGTCGCGGAGTCTGCTCACCCTTGAGAGGTGATTGCTGGTGAAGCAGACACCGTAGTTGAGCTGACGGAGTTCGGGCTCAAGCTCCAGTTCGACTATCGAAAGGCCTGGCCGGCCTACCCTTCTTCCTCCCACAGAGACTCCCACATGGGAGTTTCAGAAAATAAGGGGTACCTTTTTTTCCTTATAAGGATCCTGCTATTTAGGGCGCTATATCAGGATCCCCTATTTTCGGAAACTACCACATCTCTTCGGATCCAGAGCTGGCCAGAGCTGTGTCGGAACGTTGGCATGGGAGGTCTACTGGAACTCGCGCCTGGCCAGCGAGCGCGGGCGCATTCTCAAGGAGTGCCAGCAGGGTGAGGCAGGCACATCGGCACGAAACGTTTGCGCATCAGGTGAGAGCAACAGACCGCCTTAAAGGCCTTCATCGACTTGGCCGGCGGCGTTGGGGCTTTGGCACTGCTTTGTGCAAGGCCTGTTGCGTCGTGAAGTATGTGTTTCTGATCGTGATTCTTCTTTCTTCGTGATGGTCCGTCGGATTGCCCAGGAAGGGATGCCAGGTCGTGGTGAACGATCTCAATCCAGCAGCCGCCGCGGCTGCGCAACAGAATGCTCAGAGGCTGGGTCTCCACATCAGGTTCGGCAGAAAGCACGGTCCCAATGTGTGTGGGGGGGGGGGGCAGGGGTGCCTTTCTTACTAAAGGGAGGGTCCAGATTCTGTTAGTTTGGGTCCTAAAGGTCCTTGAAGTCAAATGAAAGGAGCTCCGTCCCGCCAGGAATCGATTGAGCCTGGACGTTCTTCAAATGGATGCGAGCCTTCTACTCCGGAGCCTCCTCCGCGGAGACCTGGGCCCTCTAAGCCTCAGCCCAGCTCTGCTCGAGGCCGCTACAGTGCTGCATATACTTGTATACAGCTTGTATATGTGTATGTTAAATTTCATACATCTTTGTATATGTATAGACATTTCACACGTCTTATGTACCCACTGTAGTGATATCCTATTGCTTATGTGTTGAGGTCAACACCACTCGCCTCTGCTTCAATCTGCCAGAACTTGCGTGCCCTGGCCTGCAGTGAGCTGATGCAGCAGATCACGTGAGACACCAGTGGCTGCGGCAGGTTGGAGCTGTTTTCTAGCGAACTGCGCCCTCTCCAAGACAGCGGAGTCGAAGACATCACGACGGCAGAGGCGGAGGCGGAGCCGGTGTTTCGTGGAAGCTTGCTGGGTCACAGCTCACAGCCGGCATGTGTCTTTCAGGAAGGCTTGCGCAGATTCTGCGCCTACTGCTACACTTTCGACTACTCGGAGGAGCAGGTTCTCAAGCGCTTAGAACACCTGCTCAACTACCTTCCACAAGCGACAAAGATTCGCAAGGTGCGGCTCGTAGCCCCAAGGAAGATAATGTATTGTGTGGAGCTTGACTTTTATCTGCGCCCAAAACAGAGCTTTGCAAACCTTGTTTTGTCTTTGGATGAAGAGTTGAGACTCTTTTCACAAAGGCCCCACAGACACAGAGGCCCCGGAGAAAGCCGGCCCAGGAGCTTTCGACGCTGCGGTCCTCCCTTGACCCGGCAGCCGGACTCGGCGTGGAGAGACCAAACGAAAAAAAAAAAACCCACTCTCTGCCGGCCGGGGCGGCGCCTACTCTAAGGCTGGGCTCCCGGTGGCCGTGGAGGCGCCTCCCGCCGGGGCCCCCGGCGGCCAGAGGCGAAGAGAGGGAGCCGGGAGCCACTTGTGTCTCTTGCAAGAAATGCAAGGTCTCCGATTTGCTCCAGTGGTGCGCTAGCTGCAAGGGCTACAAGCCGCCCGGAGCTTCAACAAAAACCGTCATTGGGGGTGTTGGCAACTTTCTTGCAGTGTCCCTTGCCCATGAAAGGCCACGCGCACATCATTGCTCCACCTGCGGTCGATGTGTTCTTAGGCCGAGCCCCAGAGTGTCAAAGATTGACATGCTTTGCTTCTTTGACGTTTTGGGCTTAGCGTGCCTGGTGTCTCGAGCGAGGTCCTTTGGAGTTTGAACTTTCGACTTGTGGGAGCTCGTAAGTTTCCAAGTTTGAGCTCTCGTAAGTGGGAGGGTGGCGGACTGCGAAGTCTCGAACATGCTGCGACGCCCAAGTGAGCTGGTGTCAAAACCAGAAACTTCCGCACCCGTGGCTTTCGAGTTTGAAGGTTACCAAACCTAGAGGGCTGGAAAGCTCGAGCCCAGCCTCAGCCTGAACATCGAAAGTTCGAGAGGTTCGGGAGTGTAAGACGTTCCCCTTCTGGCGTCAATTGCTTCAAGCAGGAGGGAACCTTTCACAGTTTGCGAGATTTGAACTGTTGAAAGCTTAAACATCTGGAGGGCCTGGAATTTCAGAGTTTGAAAGCATCGAGTCCGACAGAGGGCAGAGGCAGAATTCGAAGGTTGGAATGGAAGTCTTGGAAGCTGGAATCTAGGCCACGCGATGGGCCGGTGCGGCGAGAGGATGACGGCTTCATGTACACACGTATGCATACATGCCATCCATCCATCCGCGAATTCACCCATTCATCCAGACAGACATGCATGCCTTCGTGCGTGCATGCGTGCATGCATGCACATACATACATTCTTACATGCCTACGAACATGTGTAGGTTGTAATACATACATTCGCGAAAAAAATTTCGGGGCGTTGAGTCCTAGTTTGGACGCAGCCGACAGGCTTGCATCTAATGAGGGAATCCTCGCGCAGAAATCTGGAAACATACCAGTATGCGCTAAGGCTGGGAATCACATGTTCGAGGATTTAACTGGCGCCTAAGGCAGAAAAGCCATCCCCGAGCACATGCAAAATCAAAACTAGAACAGAGCCAGCGTTAAAGTCAAAGCAGCACTCCTGCAGACCTTGAGGCATTGCCAAAGAAGGCCATAGCGACACTGGGCCCAGGCACATGCAAGTACCAAGGGCAAAACCAGAACTTCAGCCTGAGCCTATTCCGCAAGCGGGAGGGTGAGGCAAACTGCAAGCTGTACACCCCACACAGCTGACATTCAAACGCAGCTGTGCCCATCCAACACTACCATGTGCAGTGACTGCGTATACACATGGAGTTTAGTAGCTAAAAACAACAAGACCGAAACGAAACTTGACATCTGGTTGCCTTGTTGTTGATAGCCATCTTGGCCATCGCCATTAGAAACGGTCGTATTCCAATCCACATTCCAGCTCGCTATGGCCCTCTCAGATTTTGTAGAAAGGGACTAGCCACCTCATTGTACTGCCTCAACATTTAAGGTGGCAATCACCAGCTTGACGAGCATCTGCATTCCACTACCAGATCTGGCTCCACATTCCACCGTTTTGCACTCCTGTGTAGCAGCCTGGAATGTCGGCGGACTTGCAGGTTTCCAAATCTTGAACCCCCGCGACGTGACCGTCACAGTTCTTCAAGCAGTGCTCTGCAGTTCCCCAGATATCGTTGCATCCATGGGTCTCGCTGTACCGCTCCCACACCCAGAAGTCGAGGTGTGCGTTGATGTCTTTGACCGTTTGTTCAAGGAAAGTCTTGCAGCCATCGTAGCCTTCGCCACTTGCCGGCGCACCATCTACGGAACCGCGCTGAGTACCAAGAAAGGTGCCTTCAACCCCCACATGGTAGACTCAAGCAGTCATGTCCTGTCCGATTTTTGCCTCCCATTGGAAGTAGGCCTGGAAGAACCACTCGTGCCACTGGTATCGGGCTGGCTACCTGCAAAAGACATGCAGGAGGAAAACGATCAGCGGCGTGATATGCAGCCGGCAGCGAGCTTTTTGGAGTCCGCAGTCGCTGCCCGGCTGTTCTTAACGTAACCTGTTCCCATAGCGGCTCTTGGACGACGCTACTGCGCCTGGGGTTCTAGCAATGTGGCCCGCTCATGGGCTCACTCGATCCAGAACCCTTAATGCATACATGGATACATACATCCCGTGGGATGTGGACCCACCGCAGCCCGCGAAAAGTCTCGACTTTTCCCGCTTCAAACGGTCAAGTTTTCGAACATAACAAGGAAGCAAGGATGCCCAAGTCTCGGAAACCCGAAAGTATGTCACCGAAGAAGAAGAGCATCGGCTGAAGAGAGATCCAGATGCGAATGCAGCTAGTGCTTCCTGCCAGTATGGATCACCACTGCCCGTGGACCAATACATGCATAGGTAGCGGGCTCGGCATCAGTGCAGGAGACCTGGGGAGCTCACGGGCTTGAGCGGCTGGAGGTCAAATCAACATGAAGCCTTTCGTCCAATTCGTGCACTTCGTGCCCATCGCAACCTTGCATGCGGTAAGGAACTCGGGAACATGCGGGCATCGCACTGGCACACCAAGTTATCTTGCACACCAGGGAAGTGCTTCGCCAGTCCTCAACGCATCCTCTGTGCAGTGGCTCAGTTGGTCGTGCACTCCGAACTGTTCATTCTCCTGGTTTATGCTACGAGCTGAGAGCCGGCATGGCGGACGCACATGCCTGCACGGGCTTGCGTGAGCTGTTTGCATCGGACTCTTTCGCATCCCTGAGGGCTGGAAAAACTCACGCAAGTCAATGGACTTCGTGAGAGTTGTGATCCGACTTCGGATTCTGCTAGCAGCCTAGAAGTCTGCAGCATCAGCGTGTTGCGAGCTCGTTGGTTGAAACTGTGGTCTTATACGAACCTTGAAATCTTTGCAGGCTGAGCTTTGGTCGCCGATCAATGCCAAGCGCATATGATAGAACATCAAGTCAAGTGCCAGCAAAGCCAGTGAGCCACTAGTAACTTATTTGGCTGGGGTCGCTTGTGTTGGTAGTTGCGTGGGGAACTGTTCAGTCGGTCCTAGTTCTAGTCAAGTCCAGATGGTTCCACAGCACTCCAATGCACAGCTTGTGAAGCGCTTAAGTGCTCCAGGCTGGGTCTGATCGCGTGGTTCTGCTGTTTGGTGGTTCCTCGGCGTCAAGCATCCGTGAGCTCCTGTACCAATACCGCCAACATACCCCTGATGCAGCGACGAGGTCATGTTGTTGGTGGGCACCCTTGCCTGGGAGTGCTGCGCTCGGCTCGCGAAACTTTTCGGGTGGCCCCGTTGTCCCAGCTCGAAGCCGCTCGAGGATGGAGCACACGGTGGTGGGCAACATCAGCATGATCGAGGCGGGGTCGATGTTGCCTGCTCTCGAAGTTGGGGCTTCCTTATCTTCGGGCTGCTCAGGAACTTGCTGTGGTGCATGATGCTGCGTGCCTTCCTGAGAGGAGTACGTCCTCGAGAAAGCAGAGATGCGGCGGCGGAGAACTGGGGAGCGAAAATTCGTGCCCCGGCTGAGATTGGAGGCCAGTTGGGAGCTCCAGGCGATTGCTACATGCGAAAAATGGCCAATGAAACGATGAAGCGGCTGTGGTGCTCGCTGTGGGCGGGTCGGGACCGGGTGGGCGAAAGGGGGGGAGGCGCTCGGAGCAGTGATGCAACGGAAGCGGAGCTTGTGAAGCGACTCGTGAAGTGCTGCTGACCATGTGAACGACACCAGGTCTTGACAGTATTGATGATTCCTTCGAACTTCCAATCATTGAGGAAGGATAGCGATGTGCTCTGTCGACCGACGGTCGACCTGCGCCCAGGCTTCTGCCAGCCTCGAAGTTTCGAAGACATGGCAGACTGCTTTGCAGACTCAATGTTGAAAGGGACTTGCAACGGCGGGTCTGTGGACTAGCAAGGATCACATGCAGAACTACTGGACACATTGGCCAGGGCTCAAAGCATTCAAACCCCTGGACACGCAACCCTGACCCTGATGATGGCTGTTGACTTCGTGCCTCAGCTGGACGGGATGCTGCGGACTTGTAGGCCTACCGACTAGAAACGGGACTCCTCAAACATCTCCTCAGGCCCAAAACAAGTTTCATCAACTTGCGAGGGGTGACCTTTTTCCGAAGCTATGCTTTGAGGTGTACCCCTATGACCTTGGACGCAAGGAAAACTTCGCCGCCGTTTTCGCCTCAGCTTGTCGCATCAGCCGCATGTCCAGACAAGCCAGGGTCAGCTTGCTGTCGGTGAAGCGTAGTGCATCTCTCCGCCCCAACTATGATGCATAAGTATCATGCACGTTCGGGGGTCACAGAGAGGTACTGTAGCCGCAATTGGAACGGTGCCGGAGGTACTGGGTTCCAGCTTCTCCTGGCTTGTCCCCGGCCTGGCTACACCAGGAGAGAGCGGCCCATGTGCTCCAGCCAAGCAGAACACATACAGAGCCCTTGAGCATTCTGAGCTTCGAGTTCGGGGCTCATGCGCTGGTGCATCAGGCCGTGCATGCGGATTGATCTCATGAGCGTGTTGTGTCGTCTTGAAAAGTGCTCTGCGGTACGAACAACTGTAGTCGTTCGACATGCCCTATGCTGTCTTGAATCATGTGCGGATGCCGCAACTTCTCTGCACAATTCGTCTCCCGGCCCCTCTCTGTGCTGTTGCTCACGCAGCCTTCGAAGTGTGCCCCACTTCAAGGGGCAATATAGCATGTGCGGTGAGCGCAAGTGCTTCTTTCATGATGTCACAATGGCGGTTGTTTGCATCACATGCGGAGTGTTTCTTGAGGCTAAGGGTATTCAGAACGCAAGTTGACGGAGAGTCTGCTTCATTTCATTTCGAGGCATCGCTGCGTTTGTGATTTTCACCCCATGTCCTAGCTTCCTTGCAACTTGATGTACAAGCGACCCTTGAGGTTTCTGTCGCTTGCCCTTCAATGCCTGTAAAGGAGAGCCTGTTTGGCCACCGGTGCGGGCAGGCCGTCGCACTGAGCATGAGCCACGTGGCCACCTGCAATTGCAATTTGCTGATATGTGGGCTTGGAGTCCGGTGGCGATGTCAGGTTGCACACATTTCGACATTAGCACAGAGCAGATCGCCCAAAAGATGGAAAAGCTCCAAAGGCAAGGCGGAGGGGCTAGTTGAACACTTCAGCTTTGACATGCTTGGTCTCAGACAGACTTGATGTTTGATGGTGCTGTCAGCGGGATATCAGAGTGCAGTTGCGTAGAAGTCCCACAACCATTTATTTCATCGTTATCTTTGCAAGGTTCTCATTGCACCTGAAGCATCATCATCATGTGAACAACTTGTCAGATGAAGTCCCGAAGTAAAGACCATTCCGACGAAAGCATGGCTTCACACAGCTCTTTTTTCTTGAATGTGGATCTTGAGGAAGGTGATTTGTTTCCTACACAACGGGAAGCTTCTCCAGCACAGGAGGCTTCTCCAGCTTTGACCGTTTTGGACTCCTTGTCGCATTCGCCGGCATCCACGGTGCATGGACTTCCCAGTTCGCCAGCATCCACGATTCCTGGACTGCCTTCTCCATACTTGAAGAGGAAACGAGCTGAAGATGAAATGAGTTCCAGGGCCACGGCCACGCAGATCGACCCGGAGGCCACCCTCTGGGTCGATGAAGCCTTGGGTGTATTCTACTGGTGCCGTGCCCGGTCTTCCAGCCTCCGGGTCGATCTGCGTGGCCGTGGCCCTGGGACTCATTTCACCTTCAGCTCTTTTCCTCTTCAAGTAGATCAGTCCAGCTCCGTCTTCTGAGCAACACGCTGCATGCGTCTGCGCTGCACAGCCCGCAGTCCGCGAGAGCTGCAGCTAGAAGTGACACAGTTGTGCTTCGTGGCAGAGTGCATGACGTTGCCTGCACTCCCAAGCAGGACAACGCTAGAATGCCCCAGAAGCTCGTGACGAGTGATAATTCTTGCTCCGTGTTGGGCCTGGCACAGGAGCATGGTCATGCCTGTGCGGGAGCACTTCACGGGCGAAGGAGAGAGACAGAGCCGCAGCAGAGCTGTTGGATCGGGAAAGCCTGACTATGGAGCCAGCGTCCGGAGCGACATGCGTGCGTGCTCGTGGAAGGACGGTGTTGCCTCAGCTATTGGTCCCGAGCTCGGCGAATTCTGTGAGCCTGACAAAATCAGGGCACCGTTCGGTTTCATGAAGTGGCTCCCTTTGCCGAAGGCAGTTGGCCTTGCATTGCTGGCATGTCGGGATCAGGTGCTGGATTTGCTTTCGGTTTGGCTGCTGCGCGGCCTGCGATTGCGAGGCCCCGAGGCCTCGAGACTCCTCCGACTCTCGGACTCTCCGGCTGCCCGGGAGGCCTGCGGTGAAGAGCGGCTCAGCGTGGAGCCGGGCCAGGCCAGACCGCCAGCATCAAATGCATTACATACATGCACATAGGCATCGATATGAATAAGCAAATGTATGTCTATATCTATATGTCTGTATCCATATATCATATCTATATCAACATCAGCATCTAATATCTATCTATAGCTATATCCCTACATCTATGTGCTTATAGATATGTAGCTTAATCAGTGCAAAATGTTGCGCTATAAAGTGTCCTGTCACTGCTCGGACGACGAAGCCGGAACACACCGACTGCGACAATCCGAGTTGTGTCGTGAACTTGCAGCGAAGGCCGTGCTAATATCCAAGTCTGAGGGCAGCTGGGCGCATGGTCCGACACCTACGAAGCCTTGCAGCTCCGCATGTTCATAGCACCCAGTCGGCAGGGAGGAGACCGGGCCTGTCCTCCAAAACCCCATTCGTTTTGGCATCCGGGCTCAGGTCGTAAAATGCCCGACGGAGGCCGGTTACGAGGGTGGTGTGACGGCTGCAAGATTTTTTTTCTCAAATGTGCTGTTTGGTTGAAGACTTCTCACACAGTCTTCACCCTCAGGGCTGAATGGCACTGGCATCACTGACACTTCAGATGTGCCCCAGCCTCGGCTTGAGTCGCCGCGAGGCTGCCAATGTCTGGGCTCCAATTTGTGACCTTCATCCCTCCTCTCCCTCCCCCCTCTGTCTCTCATTCTCTCTGTCTTTCTGGTGCATTTTCAAGCCCTTGCAGCGGTTGATGTCACTTTTCGTTTCCGGAGAGAATGATCGGCATGTGTCTTGGCACAGCCAGCCAGCCAGCCGGCAACAGTGCTTAAGACTTGCACCTTGACCAGTGGTGGACTTTGCTTCCTGCTTCCGGCAGCCGTGCTTCGTCACCAATAGCTCCTGACCATTCGTCGGCATCTCCCCGAGCCGATAAACTCGCTAGACTATCGAACAACTATAGCTCGGCAACGCAAGGCCGTCTGGCTGGCTGCCTCGGAGGGTTCTCGCATCCTCGGAAGCGGTTCCCTACGAGGTGAGGGATCTACAATCTACAAGTGACGGAGTGTGCTGTTGAAGCCTGTTCAAGTTTGGTTGGCCTTTGCTACGTTCGGATACGTTCCAAGTTGTAAAACTTTTTCGCAGGCGTCAAGAACCCGGTGCAAACGCTTAAGTCAAAGAGATTGGATTCAATGAGGGAAGCGTCGGCATAAGGCAAGCAAGCTAGAACCGAGCCAATTCGATTCTTGCGCCAGATCCCCTTCCAGAAAGAGCTTCAGGGCCACTGGGAGGCTGCCCGGAGCCCAGTGCATGAAGGGTCAGTTTTTGCTTTGCCTTGGTCTTTTGGAAGTGGGCGTGCGTTAGAAAAGCGGGAAGGATCCTGGTACTTGGGGTTCGCTTTTTCCATGGAGACCAGATGCATCGTGAGACTCTTGATGATTGCACGGCAGAGAGAGAGAGAGAGAGAGAGAGAGAGTAACAAATTGGAGCTCGACCCGAGTGAAGTGAAGTGAAGTGAAGTAACAAACGGGGGGCCCATGGGGCCGGGGGGCCTAACCAGCCCTTCAAGCCCTGCAGAAGAAGAAGAAGAGAGAGAGAGAGAGACCCTAAACCAGTGCGCGCTCGCGCGCGAGGGGTTGCGGCAAAAAAAAAACAAGAGAGAGAGAGAGAGAGAGAGAGAGAGAGAAAGAGAGAGAGAGAGAGAGAGAGAGAGCGAAGGAGACCACATGCTAGCAAAGCTTCGAAAGAAGAAGGGGGAGTCCCCTATTGTCAGACATTCATCTTCTGTAAAACTGTAAAACCCAGGAAGTCCTATGTCAAAGACCGCAGCCCGACTCCTTCGAGATGGCCCTTTTTGGGGCTCGGAGTCGAGCAGTCGAGCATAAAGGAACCCCACGCCAAGGCGGACGGCCGTGTTATCGCCGGTCCCTGAGCCTTGGAGAACTCAGGGCTTGGGGCTTGGGGCAGAGGGCTCAGGGCACCTTTGCGAGATTCTAGTAGGGCCCAAAAAAGGGTGAAGGGGTGAGTGCTTCTCGGGTTCCCATGCTAACGCCGGGGCAAAAGTTTCAAGGCACCTGCAGAGACCTTGCTTGGCTGGCGCTTTTTGGGTCGGGCGCTGCTGCCGTGAATCCTCAAGGCAATTCCGTTCGTCTTTAACAGGGTGACACGGGCTAGTTTTAGTTTCCATGGCGCGACCCAGACTGCCTTCAGCTGTCTGCACCTAAGTCAGCCTGTCCTGCGCTTCTGTGCATAGTGCATTCAGAGTCCGTAGAGCAGTCTCGACACTCTGCGGAGTCCTGAAAGCTCCAAGGCCTTGCACAGGCACAGAGTGGATGGTGCTGAGGCTGCCGCGAGCTGAGGGCAAAGACCGGGCCGTTCGGGTCAACAGCAATGGGGCGACTTCAAGTTGTCTTGCTGAGGTCAAGAGCATGGTCTCGTCATGCTTCTGCTTCGAGGCCAACCGATTTTTCTCGCATCTCAGGACACTGCAGGGTTCAAAGGCTGAAGCAGTGTGAGGCAGACGATGTGTCCAGCTGCCGAAGCTGGGATCGCACGAGGTGCCTTCCGAGCAACACTTGACTAGTACAGGAAGGGCCTCTGCGCGGAGTCCTGCTTGTGCCGACCGGCTGCCCTGCCAGAACGCCGGACGCCTCGCCACAAGAAATCGTTGCAGGCGAATACGAGCCTCCTGGCTTCACTCGTGGGCCTTTTTGGAGTGGTGACTCTTGAGTCATTAAGGCTCGTAGCGGACATGCAAGGTATTGGTTGTCAATAGAATGCTCTAATTCAGATGTACGTTGGTTCCAGTTCAGTTACCCGAAGAAGCCCTTCTTGGCCAACGGCCCGAGGTTGAGCCGGAGCTTAGGCGGGACCCGGGCCAGCAGTTTGAGATTCAAGTTGTCAAGGATGGATTTTGGGCCCCGCTCGGTGCTGCAACATGTCTTGGCTCAGCTAGAATTTGCACACCTTCGCAATCTCAGCTTTGCGGGAGGCGTGGGTGGCTCTGCCACGATGCACTTAGGCCAGAGCTTGAGGCCTGGCCTGGAGCCACAACCTGTCTCTATGTCTTCACGGCGCATAGTCCGGCTGCCCGGAGGACCGGCAGATCAGTCGCCGTCAAGACCATCGCGAAGGAGCGCGCGCGGCTGCTCACGCCTTCGGAAGGGTTCCCCGACAGTCCGAGAGTTCCTGAGGAGACCCGAGCAGACAGGGCAGCCGCCTTCGACGAGGCGGAGATCTTGCGAACGTTGGACCATGAGAAGGTGAACAGCAGCTAGGCTCAGTTAGGCTGTGCATAGAAACCAACATGTCAGTATGTGCCGCAAGTTCACACTTAGCCGGCAATGAGCGTTCGAAGCTTGGGCCTTCTCGACAAGTTTGGATTCCGTGTCAAAGCGAAATCTCTTCTTCCGGCATGCAGACTGTGCCACTGCGACTTGCACTCGCGGGGCCAACAAGCCAGTTCAGCTCGCTTTCCACCTGCAAAGCTTCTAAGACTCGGGGAGCCGAATCAAGGACTGATTCACGTCGACGAGGATCAGTTCAACGTCTACCTCATCCTAGAGTATGCCGAAGGTGACTAGCAGCTAGCAGCACTTCAAAAGCTTGATCTCACTGCAGTACACCACCACCCCGCCATGGTGCGAGGCGTTGACTTGATGGAGAACCTGCTCGAAAACGGCCCGTTGCTGGGACTGGCTGGATTGTTTGGGCTGCACGTGTGTTGACTCCCGCAGTGGCTTCGCCCACAGGTTTGACGAGCAGCAGGCAGCCGACATTATAAGGTCCGCCACAAATTCAACCTCTGCGTAGTTGCTGGGTTAAGGCTGCAGTCGTAGAAGACGGAGTCGGAGACAGAGATGAAGTGAAGGTTTTCTTCATCACTCCTAAGAACCCACGACCTTTTTTAAAAGGAGTGAGGGCAGTGAGGGAGAGCGAGTCCCAGCGTGAAAACATACCGACCCTGGCTCGAAACGGGGAGAGTTCTTGCTGCGGTCCTCCGCCACCTCTCTAACTCTTTCTTCCATGCAACGTCTTTCAGGGGACCCAATTTTCTTGGCCATTTTCTTTTTGTTTTTTTTTTGACTTTTTTCTGGCCCTTCCGTGGGAAGCAAGGAAGGAAAGAAGGAAGGCCCGACTACTGCCGTCACTACTTGCTGGGGGTTTCGGGTTTAGGGGGGAGTTGCCTACTTTCGCATAGGTAAACCCAGTCTTTTCTCTAGTTTTAAGGTGGAAAACCAGGATTTTCTCAATATGTCCATATCTACATCCACAGACCTGTATTTGTCTATGTTTACTTCTACGTTTACGCAGGAAAACAAACGAGTGAATCCTGGTTTTCCACCGTAAAACTAGAGAAAAGACTGGTTTTACCTATGGGGAAGTAGGCAACTCCCCCCTAAACCCGAAACCCGGGAACGTAGGCAACTCCCCGCCTCCTTCCCCTCTTTCCCTGCCTCTTGCGTGCTGCAGGCGCATGATTAGTGTAGTGCGCTTAGCTGGAACAGCGACAGGAAGGGCCGATTCATATGCGGACTCGACATGTGGAGCCCAGATCTGTTCGGAGGCAAGTCTTGGATGCCGTTTGCCACTGCCATGGTCGTGGCATCGTCCATCGAGCGGCTTGGCGCAGGTCACACGGTCGCGGGCTCAGTTACGCGCGCGCGCTCAGAGGACCTGAAGCCGGAGAACATCATGGTCGCGAAGGCGGAGGCGGAGGCGGATGGAGACGGAGAAGCGAAGGCGGCGAAGGCCAAGGCGCGCCCCGCTGCAGAGCGCGCCGCCTGAGAGCGCCTCCCAGTTCTCCCAGCCCTTTCCATTGAGGTGACCGTGGTGGATTTTGGATTGGCGACCGCTGAGGGCACCTTGCTAGACGGAGGCACGGGGGGCAAGTCTCGCGGATGGGGATGGAGAGTACTGAGATGTACTGGAGGGCGTGGGAGGAGTGCCGATATTTGCCCCTGCACGCTTGGACCCCACTTCTCCCTACCCACTGACTCGCAACTGCAGCAGAACCAAGCGGTGGTGTGTGTGTGTGTGTGTGTGTGTGTGTGTGAGGCGAACTCGAAGGCACTGGGCCTTACTTGGCTCCGGAAGCCAGAAGCTTGAAGGCAGTCAGTCGGCTCCACCTTCTCTGTAGAGTCTATGTCAGCTGGCCTTCGACGCTGTCGGTTGTAGTCGCGGTAATGCCGTGGACCATCTCCATCCTATTGTTCCAGTTTTGCCGATGCTGACGTGCTGACAGAAAGCCCTCTCTGTACAGAATGCTTGCCCTAACCGTGGCGACCGCGCTCGTTCAGAGTTTCCGTTTTCATTGGTCCCCCTTGCGTTTGATTGTGTGATGCCATCTCCCGTGCATCATCCGCGGCTTGAGGACGTTTGGAGGCAGGCAAGGAAACGAAGGGTCCCGAGGCTGCGGCAGTGCCCACGAACGAAAAATGATCCTAAAATAAGACTCTTGATTCTTGACGACATTAATGCCATGCTTGACGACATCGGAGTGTGTTCGGGCATGTGGCTGTGATGCTCGTGGGCTTCGTAGCCGTGGTGCGACTCCGAGGACGTGGAGCTTTCGCCTGCAATAGGGCGCTGGATTCCTTTAGCCTGGGTGTCAGGTTCTCAGTTTTCGGCACCTGCCAGAGAAGTCAATGTCACCATAGCTCTGGCGGCAAGCCTTCAGCGATTCACCGGCTCACAACAGCATTGGCAACACCTGAGGTCGTGCTGTTCGCGATGCTTTCAGGCCCTTAAACGCAAAACCCTTGACCTTTCGCAAGTTGACACGTATGTGGCAGATGATCCTTTTTGTTTGTGTGTCTAGTCCACACGACCTGTGCAGGTCGGTTGCCCAGCGCCGCCAGCCCCACGCTGGCCAGCGCAGACGTTCTTCCGAACCTCACGTCAGGCGCGCGCGAAGCGCAAAGCGCTTGCCGCTTGTGATGAAGCAAAGAGGGGAGGAGAGAGACGGAGAGACGCTCAAGCTAGAAAGCTCAAGCATGTGATGTGAGGTGCCCGTGATTTCCTAGCCCGCCTCCTTTACTTCGACCCGGCAGAGCGCTTGGGCGCTGCAGAGGCACTGAGCCACCCATGGCTGGTGGCCTGGCGATGAGCTTTAGCATCGAGTGCGTGTCACCCCTTTCGCCCCTCGGTTTCACCGCGCCCCGCTGCTGGTTCCCCAGGCTTGAAGTGCCTCGCCGATAGAAGACCCGCCTCCTCTGTTGCTTGCCTGCACAAGTGCAGCGCCGATCGCGCGGCTGTATTCGGGGGCTGACGTCAAACAGTCACAGCAGTCATCAGGATTGCACCTGGTCGTGATCTTCACGAGAAGTGTTGAGGGGAGTTCTGCAAAGCTTCTCCGTGCAGTCAGGCCTGGCTTGAAAGGACCGTTCCCAATCAAGAGCTGCGGCCTCTTCATGAAATCGGTCCGTCAGACGCGGTATCCAGGGGACCCAGACCAGAACTTAAGAGGATGAAAGAAGGGACCGATGAAGTGGGGGCCTCGTTTGAAACTCTTTTCAGGCCTGTTGGCTGCTTTGGCTTCCTGGAGGGGGGTTTGCAGTCCGGGTGGGGTGCTACAGCACTCCGCATTCGATCAGATGCCACACTTCGCATGATAGCAGAGATCCGCAGGCTAAAGCACAGATGCACAGACTTTTTACCACCGACAGTCTTGAAGCTTTGCTTCATTCCTTCGGAACTGTATTGACCCTTTCGTCTGGTGCAGATGTAGCAAGCCCAAGCCCAGGGGATTTTGTTCGGAGTCTTCATACGTCTCATTCTCAGATATTTCAAGCCGGGGTTCTGTAGCACCCCTGTGTTTCCTGCAATCGCGTGCCCCCATGCCTTGCAGATGAAGGCTTCCGAATGGGAGCTTTCGGCATGGCTACGCGGCTACACGACTTACGCGACTAACACTGTACACCAGGGCGATGTAGGGCTGCCGAGTGCGAGCAAGGCCTCTTTGCTCAGCTGCCCACCACAATCGTGGACTATTTTGGGGTAGATATTCGATTTCAAGTTTGCGCCATGGAAAGTTGAGTGATCAGTCTCTGTATCACTTGCCATGTACCGGCCTTCGCAGCAGCTACTGCAATATGGAATAGAGTCAGAGACAACACTGCCGAGCCACTACTCTGGTCTTATGCCTCTGCGCCAGTGGCGCAGCTTGTGAGATTATACTTGTTGTACTGCCAGACGCGGAGACTCTCCGCGTTCGGCAAGTTGGACGAATTCACGGTTGTGTCTCCGCAGCTTTCTGGGCCTGAGCCCCGTTGTGCATATGTGAACAGCGAGAGCTCTGGGGGCTAGAACAGGCTCACCAGCGTGCAACCTCCAGGCATCCTCAAGGCCATAGAGCCATAGATTCACCGGGGATTGTTGCAGTCGAGTTGACCATTGACCGCCGCCTTTACGCTTGCAGACGGCTCAGAACTCTAAGCGTCCTTGCCACTGGAGAAGCATGGCTGGGCTGCGTTTTGTTTCGGCGTTCCACCTCTGCCGGTTTGGGTGTTCCATCAAAGGAGCCGTCTCAGGCCCGAACTTAAGTCATCGAACTAAAGTATCGAGTTGCTGATAGGTCTTGAACTGCATACAGGTGCACATGTAGGCCATCGAAGTCTGAATCTGCTCTTCTTCGAACTCAGAATTTCGAGAAGGCATCAGAGGATGAGAGGGCTCCTGGGAACTCTGAGCGAAGTGACTGCTAATGCTCCCGGCATTTAATCACTTTCCCTTGGCAGCGGAGCTGGCTGAGGGTTTGGGCTTCAGCCTTGGGCACGGCAAGAGGAGGGTACTGTAGCCGTAGGACTATAACCGTTAACCTACCAGCCCAAAATCCCAATGTTACTAAACCTTGGCTATGTTCCCTTCAAAGGCACAGGTAGGAATCAGCCGAGGGCTGAAGCCCAGCGAGACATTTGAACTTGAGGTCATTTTTGAATACCTTCGACGCCCATCCTGAGGGAATCCTTGGAGTCATAGAAAGTCAGGAGAAGCTGTGTTTGAATCTTCCATTCTGCCGGGGACTCAAGGGAGATCAGGTGGTCAGAGCCCAGAGACTTCTCTGGGATCCACGAAGGGGCACAGGACAGGAGGGTAGCGGTCTGCTGTGCTTCCTGTCACGCTCACTTTGATTTTGCAATGCGGGCGTAGCTCCCGGTGTCCTTCAAGAATTCACAAACGGCCTGAACCTTCATGGGTTGCCAGTGTTCGGTTGATTCGGGAGCCTTTCTGCCGACGCCGCATTCGAGTCGACTTCAGCTCTCAGCTCAGGCCCCGCAACCGCAGCGCTAAACGCTTGCGAAGTTGCGAGGGGCAGCTTATGAGATATTATGCGCCTTGACACGCCTGGCGCCTGTGGCCCGTATTTTCGGATCTAGACTCTAGACAATGGCACAGTCTCGGAGCCGGCAATGGCGACAAAACAGTGAGACAGTGAGGGCGTTAGTTCCCTCCATTTGTGTCATCGTTTTGCACGAGAGCGCCTGGTGCAGTGCCAAGGTGGTGAAGGGCCTCGTCGCCCGCACCACGGCCTCGAACATGCCTTTCGTGCCCGAGGGCCGAGAAAGCAATCGAGCTCCAGCGCTCGAGCGAGTTCAAAGCATATTCTGTCATATCGCGTGCTTTCTTGTCTGATGCACTCCGACGGTGCGCATCTCCGCGAGACGGCGGAACTCGTGCTTGCCGAAGCTTCAGGCTACGACACGAAGCAGGCGCCGTTCGCCTCCTAGGGTGGGGTGCCTATGTGCAGTGCTTGCCGAGGTGGAGGTGGTCGTTAGGGTTCCGGAGGGGGGGGCCCGGGCTCAGGATATCCTTGGAAGCATGCGATGGGAAAACCGCGCAGTGGTGCGGCGGCGAAGTTTGGACCAAGCAGGTCGACTGCGCCATTGATGTCTTCAAGCTTGGCGGAGCACTCTTTGCAGGAGAAACCGGTGCCAGCTGCGAGAAAAGGCGGCCACTGGCCGGTAGAGGACCGGCAACTTTCAGGATTCAGTTGCACATCTGAGTCTCGGCCTCTTCCAAGCTTGCATCGGGCCGCAGTCCTGCAGGATGGGCTCGATGATGTCTTGGATGATGAGCTGCCAGCATTGCAGGCCTGTGCTGCTTGGCCGCGAAGGTCTGCTTGTCATCTTGGCGTCCGGAACGATGCGTCCAATCGTCAGGGTCATAACTGCCCCCCAAGCCTCCGGCAGTGACCTTACTCATATCTCAAGGCCGTCGGTCCGGACAGCAAGAAAGACGACTGAGCTGATTTCCGACGGACGCCGAGGGGGCGATGCGTGGGGTTTCGAGTCCAAGGGCGAACGCATCGGTGTTGCATTTTGTTACGAGACAGAATAGCGGATCATGGGGCAGGGCGGGGCAACAGCTGTAAGACTGAAGCTTCAAAGATTCCAACGAAATACAGCCAGTAGCAGAGATCTCAAGACCTACGAGTTACGGAAGCCGCTCTCGGAGCAAAGATGGAGAAAGACCTCGGAGTCGGCTTTCGGCTCTTCGCCCCTCGGTGCAAAAAAAGCGACAGCAGAGGCTTTCCACTTGAGTGCTTCTCTGGAACTTGCCTGGGGCCCTGCACGACCTGTTCTGAGAACGATGCTACACTAATCGGCCTGGTCTAGCAGTCTAGCCAGCACCATAGAGCCAAAAAGCCTGACATGCTCTAAGCTGCTTTCGCGCTTTGTCGTAGCAATGCTTGTAGTCCAGCGTGGAAGACTCTGCTTCCTTTTCGTTTGGTAGTTTTGACACAACAGGGGCGAGGGGCCGGGGGGGCCCTTGGACTTTCCGTGCAAGCAAGTCTGTACGCTTCTTCCATGCAGGGAGCCATCCTGCCTGGCTCTTTAACTCTTGATCCTCTCGACAACCGATCCGCGGAACAACCTAGCTTTCTGCAGAAGGATCTGTACATGTTTACACGTCCAAAACCAGTATCCGGACCCGAGATGCAGCACCCAACGGTACGGCGAAAGCGATGCCTGAAACCATCGCCCATGTTTGCGCTCGTTCGCTTGTCCACTGGCACGCTCCGTGCCGTCTCGCATTCCCCGGCAGCCGTATGGCTTTGTGGCAGGCATAGCTCCTGCATGGGCTCGCACATATCCGGTGGCCGTTATTGCATGAAGGCAGTATGAAGGCAAACAAGATTTTCAAGAACATCAGCTTTTCAAATCAATGCGAGCTGTGAAGCCTCTGTGGCCTCAGTTGCAGTGGGCCCAGGAGACTCTTAAGTTGATTCTTTCGCGGCCTTCGATGCTGAAGTGTTGCTCCCGAGGCAATGAAGCTTCGGGTTCTCCTGCTTTGCCTCTGGCGCTGGGCTTCTTCGGCCAAGCTCCGAGGGGCCAGCGGACAAAGCGAGACCAGTGTGCCAAGGGCTCAGGATTCAGGGCTTGGGTGGGGCTTGCTGGTTCTCAGAAATCGGGCATGTTGGTGGCCGACATCGGGGAGGAGCTTAGATTGCAAGACGATACTTCTCATGGTTTCACTTGTGTGGCATTGGTCTCTCGAAACCCTCAGACTGAGAGAGCGCGGGCCTTGCTCCCTACAGCCTGATAAAGCCAGAGTGACAGAGTGGACAGATAGCCCTTCACTGCCAGGTCGCACCAGGGGGGTTGCAGGAAAGGGGGGTGGGGACATCCCGTTGAAATCTGCAGAAACATGGAGATCGCTCGTCCGGGAGGGCCGTGACCCATATTTGAGAATCTCACATTTCGAAAAGGGGTCTTGAGAAGTTCGAACGTGGGCTGTTTGATGGGCCTTTGGGCCTTTCTGCTTCGTCGAGGTGGTTGGTGCAGGTATGGTTTGCTGATCAGCCACCAGCCTTGAGAGGGGCACTTGGACGGATTCACCGACATCGAAGAGAGGCGCGCGTGCACAAGTGCATAGCAGGCAGAGCTTGCAAGTGCCCCCTTGACAATGCAGAAGTGGAGGAGAGGGGAAGAACAGGGCTGGTGTGCTGCTGAATCAGGGAACGACCCCTTTACCTCGGGGGATGCCAGGCCAGTCACATGCTCGGCTCGCCGTAACTTGGGCATGCCTGCGTGCCCCTGCTTGGCGGTGCCGGAGAATGAGACGGACAAGAGGGAGAGAGGGTGAGCCTACGAAGCCCAAACAAAATCTCTCGCCCGCAAACGGGAGTGAGGGGAAGACACTCTCTCTTCTTGCTGCTACGTCAGGTGCACCGGGAACCAGGCCTGCCCGATTTGGTTCGGGAGGCTTTTGATTCACGGGTCTAGGTGGGCTTGGCACGCGTGCAGCTCCATCTGTAGTGTGGAATAATTACATACGCCCAGACATTACATTGTAACATGAGTTCGTGCAAACATACAGACAGAGAAATAGGCATACATATGCCAGTCCATATACTTAAGATGCCTTTGCAAAGGCATGCGCGCAAACACACAGACCAACGCATATACACATAGATGGAAGGCACAGCCACGGGGACACATTCAGGCAGACGTGCTGTGCCTGCAAACGGAGACAGAGCCGCTGAGGACGACGAACCTCACAGGGTGAGCAGCCAGACACAGCTTACATGCCGTCTTTGTACGCCGAAGAAAGCTCCCTGGAGGGTAGCGAGGCGTTGGCCAGCCATGCAGTAATGCATCTGCAAGGATTTGCACGCATGTGAACCCCTGAAAAGCTCACAGCGAAGGTGAGTTGAAATTTGGGCACTACGGCGACATCGACTAATAACTAATAAACAGGACAGTAATTGTTGAGTAGTGGCCGGCTTGTTGCCCCGAGGAGCTGCCACACATGTGCCACGCGGGTGACAGACTCCTATTCCAACTCCTTTTCCCGCCACCACCACCACCACGGCCATCAGCACCACGAATACTACTGCCACTACTGCGACCACTGCTGCTACTACTGCTGCTGCTATCACTACTATTATTCGTATTATTACTTCGCTTCTACTTCTACTGAGGTGAAGCTATCGTTCGCATGCTCGTAGGCACATGTGAATGTTTCTTTCCTGCTGGAATTTTCAGCTGAGTTTAGCCGCGCCTTGTTATGCTTACGTGCGGTTTCAGCTGGGAGAACGGTGCAATTGAACATCCAGATTTGCACGGTGGTCTTAGCAGGTTTCTTGTCATGGCCAGAGTTGCTCTGCAAACTCTTCTTGCTTGTGCGCAGTTTCCCTTGGATGCTGACGGCGACTACCACGCCACCGGCCTGTCGCGAGGTGAGGATTTGTTCAATGCAAAGGACCTTGCAGCTTTCCAGGCCTGGACGCTGCGAAGGGTCGGGCCTGCGGTTGTTCGAGCCGGCATGAGAAGTAAGAAAGAGCAGACCAGCACTTTTTTTGCAGCACCTGATCGTCGGTAGCAAGTGCTGTGCTGTGTTGGCCTCCTGCGTGAGGAAGGTTTGAAGACAAGACCGGACTGGGCAGTTCCCGTGGCGTGGCATCTCAGCGCAACGGTCGGTGCCTCAAAGTGTGTGCGTGCGTGTGTCTGTGTGTGTTGCCTTCGGGCACCAACAGCTGTCACTACTGCTGTCACCAATTCAAATGTCAAGTGGACGCAGCGGATCCTCAACCTGAAGCACGAAATTGATGTAAGTTATCATGTCATCTTGTGGTCGCCTGTCGCAAGTGCTCGCTTTTTGCGGGCAATTCTTGGGCCAAGGTGAACAGCAGCATCAAAGAGCCGATAAAGTTTGGCTTCGCCGGCAGTGGTGGGTTCTTGATGGTCACAGTTCCTGCTGAAGCAGCAGGCCTGTTTTGCCAATCTGTAATGGCAGGCGGCATCTCGGGCAACCGTGAGTCAACAAGACTTCAGGTGTCGAAGTTGAAGCAACTGGCCGCGTCGCAGCCGGTGCATCTGATGCCAGCTTCCAGTACCGGGATGGACCCAAGGTGGGCAGAGTGTGCGATGGACGAATGAGTGCTTGAACCATCACCAACAAAGACGCGGCCAAGAAGGAAACCAAGCGTGAAGACGCATCGTGTTCAACGACTTTTTTGCTGTCATGCAAATCTGGCATGCCAGCCAAGGACTCACGTATGCTGACCACAACTCGAAGAACCATTAGCAGACACCTGTGCCCAAACACGCGTGCGACTGCGCCACTGCTACCTTTCGCCCCTGTAGCTACCCATCCACCCACCCCAAACCTTCACGCCCTCCCGCATGCAAAGACATCCCACACGGACAGGTCTCTGGTAGCAAGCAAGCCACGCAAGCAATCGTCAGCAGACGTCGGCCATATGCACGGACCCATTGAAGCCGCACATGCAGGTTCTCAATGGCGACGTTGCTTGGCTGAGTTGAAGTTGCTGAGTATACTAATTACGGGAGTGTCAGTCAAAGGCTCAGTCTCAGGCGCTTGGTACTGGAACCAAGGTCATTTTCACGAACTTCTGTCTCAGACCGCGGCGATGCGAAGAGAAGGACGTCTGCACCGCGGTTTAAGTATAGTCTGAAGCGTTGCGCTTGGATTCGGCTTCGCTTGCTCTGCCACCTCCCAGCTACCAGAACTTCGCACTTCAACAACTTGCCACCAGGAGTTCTGTGGCCAGGGATGGGAGCCTAAACCTCCCAAGACGGTCGGCAACAGCAGGCCCGCTGTTAGGCATTTTGGGGGTGCTTCGCTTCGGCCCTGCCTTCGGGCCGACGGGGCCTTTAGCCGGAGGTCACAAGAACAGGGGGACAGAGGCTGGAGGTGTTCCTAGAATCTCCGATCCGTAATTTTTGCAGAAACCTTCATGTCTGATGCCGGGCCGGGGCATTCCTCTGTAGGCTCGAGTGTTGCGACGCTATCGCCTGCAAAGACGCCAAGGAGGCTTGTTTGCACCTTGCCAACTCGCTCCGACAGACACAACGAGCAGAAGACGCAACAAACATATATATATATATATATATATATAATAGAATAGAGTATTGAACATCGTACGACGTGCTAGAAAATCAGAGGCATGGGCCAGTCGAACGAACTGGTGAAACACAAAGATGAGAGAGCGCGCTTGTAATTCTGAAGTGTCTTCAAGAGGTAGATGGCTGCAGCAGCACTGCTTGGAAGCAGAAGGCCAACTTCGACGAGCTGAAAGGCTCGGCCATTTCTAGCTAGAGTTTAGAGAGTGACTGTAGGATCACGCCCCCATTATGAAGTAACGCTCGTCTTCCGTCTACTCGTCATAGTGACGACCATGAGGCGAGAGGAGTAGATGAGAACAAGGATGCCCTAGAGCCGGACACGCAGGCTACACCAAAGACCATTGTTGCCAGCCTCTCCTCTGCGACGCGAAGATCTGCGGCCCAGGTTTCAAGGCTCGTTTCGGGTCTGCTTCGCGGTAACATCGCCGTTTCGATGGTATCGGAAACACTCCCTGAGAGGGTCTAAGTATCGTCAGCCAGACCAGCCAGAGCCAGACTTGCTTGGGATGGTCTGCCACTGCAAGGGGTGAGCAGTGCGTTCCAGGCCAAGAATGCCACGGGCCTGCAAGGCAGCACGACAGACGAATGCTGCGAGCCGGCGCAGCTTGCCCACGTTCAGTACTGCGACTGGCGCCTGATGGCCAGCTGCATGTGATCGAATGAAAGATCTAGACTATACTTTGCTGCCCAGGTACTGCCACGAGATGAAATGCCCATCTTCTACGCAGTACACCCTCCTCGAGCATGACGACGACGGACAGTTCAAGGGCTCTTCCTCGTTTTTGTGCAGACTTTTGAGTTGCCCGAGGCAGCACCTAGAAGTTCCGAGCCCTCCCGGTCGGCCAGGAAAGCCCCGGCGCGGCAGCACGGTGAAAGAGTGCTGCAAGGAAGCCAAGTGCACGGCTCTGGACCCGAAGGGGTGAGTGTGGATGGGCTCAATCAGCCGCATCACTGGGTCTTGCCTGGAGCTGCAGCCCTGCCAGGACTGTGGGAAGAGTCCCAACCTTGCGTGGCGAAACAAGACCTCCCCAGACGGACTGGGCAGCACATTCCTGGAGTGCGACCTGGCCAGAGCACAGAGACCTCGACACAAGACAGCTTGTGAGGCAAGCGCTCTCGCCCGCCCAGGTTGTGACAAGAACTTATGCGCCACTCGGATGCTCATTGGAGGCCGAGGCCTGGCTGCAATCTGCAAGCGTGCGAAGCTTCGAGGCTGACTTCACCTGCGCGCCGTCCAGCCAGTGGAAGCCGAAGAATCTTCCGAAGCTTCAGGGCGGAAGCAACGAGGCCTGCTGTCAGCCCCTGATGTGCAGGGCTCACACTTGCCAGGGACCCTCGACTTAATTTACACATCTGAGAAGCATCCTGAAGGTTCATGAACTGAGGGGGGTTATGACGGGTTATGGCCTCGATCCCGCTAAGATCCGAAGCAGACGGTCCCACGACTTGCTGATGGTAGCCCCTCCCTGGCGCTGGGATCCTTGGATGCAGAACGACGGGCGGTTCTCGAAATCCGAGTGTCTGATACAGGGAGTGATGCGCTCTTTCGGGGATGGTGGCAGCAAATGTCACGGGGTGTGAGCGTGAAGCACATGCTCGTATGTGTGATTGCAAAGTCCCGCACTTACTATCCTTGTTGCGTGTGTTAGCAGCAGTGCTTCCCTGAAATTTTGGAGTCCTGCCCGCACGGTGATTCATCCCGACCTGTTGCCGCCTTTGCTTTGCTCCTTCAGCCTCTGGCCCAGGGAGCACGGATGAGGAGTGCTGTGAGCTGAAGCTGTGCAAAGACTATACCTGCAGCTCCTTGGCACCATCTACATGGATCAGGGTGCTTTGTCTTGTGGTAGTCGTGGGTCTGGATTCGGAGGATGGAGAGTCAGCTTCTTGGCATTCTGATTTTCTGACTGTGGCTCTTTATTTGCCCTCAAGATACGTCTTGAGTTCACCCTGCCCGTGCACCCGAAGTCGAACGAACAGAAGTTTACCGAATGAGAAGGGGAGCCGTTCATGTGCATGTGGACTTCATCTCGCAGCATGAACAGGGACTGAGAGTTGCAGTCCATCCTCGGGATTCATCGGTCTGGTGAAGTCAAGTAAGTCAAGCTTGAAGAACCTTGCTGCGAGGATGTACTTGTCGAAAAGGCAAAAAAGCTGAAGGTTTGTTTTACTTGGATTCCTAGCTGTTGTTTGGCATACAGCGAGGTGATGCCACGAAGTGGTCCATGAAGCCCCTGATGGAGGATGGCAGTCCCAGGAAGGGCTTTGACGACGAGACTTGCTGCGAGGCAGGCGGCCACATGCTGACATTCGCTGGTGAGTGTGGTCGAAACTTTCCTAGGGTTTTTTTGGGCTGGAAGAATGAATGTGCAGTCATTTGATCGCAGTGAAAATGTCGGGGTCATTCTTGCCGGTCTGCTAAACCAATTCCGAGACATAGAGCCTGTAACTGCGTGCACACGGGGCCGTGTGAAGGAGATCTTCTGCGAGAACTCCATCGACTGCGAGAGAGCCGATGGAGGCAGCCCGACGAAATAGATGCACATGGCTGCCCGGCTCCCCGCCATGTGTCAGCAAGTCAGGCAAGTGGCGCTCGAAGACTCCAGAGGCCGCAGCCCCCCGTCGGTGCCTGGGGTGCTCTTGATTGGAACTGCCCCGCTTTTCTGGCAAATGCAGGCTCTGGTTGGACTGCAAGGCAGCAACACGCAGCAGTGCTGCGAAGCAAACCATTGCGTGGCTCGGTAGCATCAGGACTCGGTCCCTGGGTGCGGCTAGATGTGGATGCCATGACTTCTCGTCTTCCTTTCGCGTGCCAGGCCGATTATACTTGCAGCACGGATTCGCAGGGAACTGGCCACGGGACGAAATGGTACAAGAAGGCAGTGAGGGGCACAAGCCGGGGTAGCTCAGCCCAGGATGCATTCGCAACTTTCATTTGCAAAACACCAATGTGCGCCGACACGAGTTGCTCTGGTTAGCCCAGAAGACTCTGTTGGTTCCTCTAAGTCTCGTCATCTTGTCAACATCGGACGGTCAGGCATGTCACCCCAGCATGCGAAATACGACAAAAAGAGTAGTCGTCTGGATTGCATCGCATAGCGCGCGTTGGGTGGCTGCCGAGATATTTCCACAGGGGCTGGCGAAAGCCAGCCAGTCTGTGGCTTCCTCTTCCTCGACAGGCGGACACCAATGATTACCGCTATCAGGGCAGCACTGATGCTGAATGCTGCTTGCCAAAGCTTCTTGACTCGCAGCACTTCTCATTATGGGCCGTTTGGAAGGTTGTGGGGATGGCTTGATGGGCTTCTAATTGCTTTTTCCGTCCTGCTTCCAAGGTACTGTGATTCTTACGAGACACAGCTCCCGCTGACCAAGTGGCTTCCTTGCTGCACTTGGGCTTGCTGGCAGCTGGCGTCTTCTTGCTTTTCGCATTTCCTTGGCCTTGGGACGAGCCTTGCAGCAGGAAGCGCAAGGCCAGCGTCGGTTCGCTCGGCAGCACCGATGCCGAATGCTTTGAGAAACGATTGCGGCTCGCTTGCAGTCTGCAGACATGAAGGCTGTGAAGCGAGACTCTTGACTCTTGTCGATTCAGGTGTGTGGAGGAGGTTGACTGTCAAGCCTTGGGCGCCGGTGCCAACGTTACTGACGCGAGCCTGCTCGGCAGCACTCGGGATGAATGCTGCTTCTAGGCACGGGTCAGTTCGAAGTCTCCGGACCTGCCCGTGCGAAGACTCGAATCCGAAGCGCATCGCCTGGGAAAACCAGTGCACGCTCGGCGCGACCGAGCCGTGTTGTCAATTGCCTTTATGCTACCTGTTCGGTTCTAGACTCTGAGAGGAAGAGTGCCTCCATGTACATATCGCACAAGCCTGCAATGGGCCGCTGGCTCTGGCTCTGGCTGGTTCTGGGCTTCTGCTTTGCAGACCTTGAGCCTCTATCAGTCGATGACGAGTGCCAGTCGGATCCTCTGCAGCACCAGCACTTCCATTCCCCGTTCCCATCCTAAGCGTCTTTGGTTTCTCCATGAGTGCTCGGAGAGCCATCCGTCACCACAAGAGCGACCACAGTCTCAACTGCACTGCCCGTCACAATGCTCCCAGACAGAGTTGCAGGTACTCTTCTTGTTCGGCGTCAATAATCTGTTGCCCGTGACCCCCTGATGGCCCTTGACTTGGAGTTGGTTTGATAAAAATCGAAGGGATCCGAAGGGGTTTGGGGGTGGCTTCGGGTCTGCGATCCTCCGCGAATGGGTGGGGCTGGGCTGAGAGACAGGCTCTTTAGAAGGATGTGCAGCTGGTGAGCAGAAGTACAGTAGTACAATAGCAGTACAGAAATGAGTAGACTTTCCACCTTCTCTTCGTATCGTGGGTCGGGGGAGAAGATGACAGAGACATTCTGCTCCACCCTCCTCCATACCCTCCACCACCCTCATCCTCCCACCTACAATAGGGAGTCTGGCGCTTTTTAAGCCGAGTCACAGCACCGGCGCGCGCCAGGGCCAGGGCTGCGCCCTCCAGGCGCTGCAGCTTCGACAGCGGCGGGAGGCGGGAGGGGAGAACGGCCCGCCGGGCGGCGCGCGGGGCGCGCGGCGCCCGGCGCCGCCGCTGCACATAAAAGGAGAGAGAGAAGGGGGGGGGGTTCGTTTGAAGACTCCCAAAAAAAACTTCGCGGCGAGGTGGATCTGGAGACGCTGTGCTCCAAAGCCGAGGGTGTTTGTTCGCTGCTCTCCGGCGACCAGGGGCCGGGGCCCCTTTACAGTACCAAGTTTGACCATACGCAGACACGCTGTTTTCAAACCGGTCCATTGAAACCCCTGCACCCTTGCACTATGTGCGATGCTCCGATCAGGCACTCGCTGACACTGTCCGACTTACGCATGCTGCTGGCAGTGGCGCCCAGCACCTTCCAGGCAGCAGAGAAAAGGCTTGCCACATCTTACGGCCTAGTGCAAATCACGACAGGCCTACGCGGAGGCGGTGCAGCTCGAGCAGACAGCCATGCAAGGAGATCGTGTGCTTTGCGCCTCGACGGAATTGCGCTACGAGCCTTTGGAAGAGAGCAGGAGGTGTCGGAGACATGTTGTCCGCTTCAATCGCAACCTGTCGGTGCTCCAGGTGCCCAGCTGTGTCAGGTCACGGCGAAGTTCCTGGCATCTCAGCACGTGGCCCTACCGCCTGGTCCAGACATCGGCTGCTACCAGGATCCTCAAGGCACGGGAATTTTGGGAACAGCGCTTCTGGCGTGGTGATGAAGGCAGCACGCATGCCGTCATCCTGCTCGGCTTTGCTTCTCCCTCCGCGCTCTCCTCTCCAGCCCAAGTCAGCCATGGCAGGTAAAGATGTTTGTGATGAAGATCTTTCACCCCAGACCTTGGCCACGCGCTTTGCCGATTCGGACTCAGGGGACAAGGGGAAGCTTGCTAGTGTGAGAGAGCAGCTGGTCAGATGATTGACGCGGTGGCGATTGGGCTGTTGATGACAATGATTTCGCGAATCCTGGCGACCATGGATCGCGATTGTGATCACAGCAGCGTAGACGGTGATGGCGATGATTGTGAAGCGGTTCAATGCAAAGAAGGCCAGTCGAATTGCCCTCCCCCCTCGCCCCACCAAAACAAAGGTCACAAGGGTATACTGCCGCACACGGTTGATTCGGACGGAGAAGGCACGAGTAACAATACGCCGCACCGCCAAATGCGGGCCTGGACGGACTCGAGCTGTGATTGCACAGCTGCACCATGCCACCGGACTGACAGTGCTTTGTCTCTTGCAGTGCAGGACTTGGAAGCATCCCCGCGACTTGACTGCGACATCTTGGGGATTCGATGGTGCAACATGGGTGTTGGAAGCCTGCCGATTGTTGAGTTTCTAGGTGAAGTTGAGTCTTTCTTGCCAGTCTCAGAGAATCATTGCGTCAGTATGCTTTATTGCTCCGGTGGCTGTCCAGTGAGGCAAGAGAGGCTAGGGAGGAGGAAGTCGACCGGCAGCCATCGACGGCAGCGCAGCACCGTGCGCATGGAGGATCCGTACCAGCATGGTTTCGAGGCCCTGGTGCAGTCCTACAGCTCCGACGCTGAGCTCTTAACTCATGGGAGCAGCCCACCCCTTTGGTTACGCTTCCTGCAGTTGCAGCAAGAGCCTATGCCCTATGCACTAGATGGTGGAGTTGCCCAGTGATCCGAGCATCCTGTAAGGAACTGGCCCTGCGCATTATGTACATGTTCAGAGTCTACCCGCGTGCATTCAACTCCTATCTGGGGAGTCCTGATGCGCAGCCAGAAGACTGGCAGAACAAATTGGCCAAGTTCAACCTAGTCGCTCGCGTATTCATCATGAATGCCATTCGAAACCTTCGCAGCTCGGTTGCAGTGAGTGGACAATGTTGCGTGACAGAGAGCACAGACCATCTTGAGTTGTGCTCGCATTTGGCTAGCAAAGAGGTTTGCACCAAACTGTTTTTCACCTGGCGAAGTGGTTTGGGGACGATGCGGTGCTTGAGCCCAATCTGAATGAGACGCGTGTGGAAGTGCTTCGGCTGCTCAACTCGGCCGTGCACGTGATGAACACGGCCGAGTTCATCTACAATGCTTCCGCGTGTGTAGATGACGCTTTTGCCTTTGTCTATCCATCTGCCTATGACGGCGTGCCTGATCTGGAAGACGCATTCCGGAAGAATCAGAAAGGGCAATTCGTGGTGTACATCTGTCCACTGACGCTTTACGCAGAGAGACTGGGGCTCCTAGCTGATGCGATTCAGACATCTGTTCACGAATCCTCGCACCACGCCGTTGCATACACCGATGACGTGGCGACTTGTGCTCAGTCCCACTACATGTGGATGGACGTTGCAGGCGCTCCGCTTGGGAAGTGTTTGGCTTATCACGTTTTTGGTGTTACTTCCGCTTCGGACACTCATCGACATCCTGGGGAAGTGAACTCAACGTGCTCTCGGGGTTTGGCAAACCTCGCAGGCCTCCCGACCCTCGGTGGCTCAGCGTGCCCCGAGAACGCCGAGGGCCAGCCGCGCTTCTCTGTCAGCGGCAGATCTTGCGATGTGCCAGGACCTAGAGTGGGACTGGGAATGAGAACGTGCAAGAAACATGTATGTAATTATGTATACTATATACATACATATATATATATATATACACACATGTGAACATCATATGTGTGTGTATATTCTTGTACCCAAACACATAAATAATACATGTATGCGTGTATATATGTATATATGTGAATATGCACTCATACAAAAATAATCACGAAAGCTCCCTGTGCAGGAGCTTCGTTCATTACCTCACGAAGTGAGCTTGGGGTTATCAGGGGGGGTGGGGGCGTGGGGTGAGTGTTTTTTGGTGGTGTTTTTCGGTTATCCCCCATCTGGAGCTGGAAAAAACCCCGTTGCCAAGGGGCACTGTTTTGGGCCAGATTTTGGTCTCTTTGGTAAGTGCCCTTTTCAGACGTTCGAAGGAGAATGGGGCTCCTCTGATGTTGATGCTGATGCTGGCCTGGGTGTGCTCCCTGATGGGCCGTATCGTGTCATGTTGTGCGAGAAGAGAGTGAGTGTCTGGAATTACTGCGCTGGCATGCTGCAACATGTCTGTCCGTCTATGTTTAGCACAGGTGTCGGTCTGTCTCAGTTGAGCAAAGAGTGGCTATGTTGGGTCAAAACTGCTCTCGCAAGTGTTGCTCTCTGCATCTTCCGGTCTCACTTTGGCTTCACTAAACGATGACTGCAAGCACCCGCCACTGCAATACATAGCTGCCGTCTCGGCATGCTGCCGGATGCTGCTGATGCTGGCCGTATCGTGTCATGTTTTGCGAGAGGAGAGTGAGTGTCTCGAATTACTGCGCCGGGCATGCTGGAACATGTCTGTCCGTCTATGTTTAGCACAGGTGTCTGTCTGTCTCTGTTTGACAAGGAGTTGCCATGTTGGATCAAAACTGCTCCCGCAAGTGTTGCTCTCTGCATCTTCCGGTCTCACTTTGGCTTCACTGAACAATGACTGCAGCACGGGATGTTTGCCTTGGGTTTTGGCGGGCTAGGCCAAGGCACACACGTAACCCTCGCTGATCATTGCAGCCTTGCATGTCCTGTGCTTGCAGCTTATTTGCCAGGTGCCATGTGTGTGTGTTCAGGCGTATTCACTGCTTCAGGTCGAGCTGCTGAAATTTTGCCCGCCCGCCCGCCCCGATGGGTAGAGCATATATTCTTCATATGATTATGTCCAGTTGGTGTGCGCCCATCGGCGCTTGTTCCCTACGAGGGGGTTCGGATCTCTTGGGCCTGGACGGCCCTGCTGTGTACATGTCTGCCGCCAAAACCCCTTCCCACATGTCTGCATGAGCAGTTGAGGGTTCCGCCACTGCAATACATAGCTGCCGTCTCGGTTGCTACTTGCTGCTGAAAATTTGTGGGTGTGTGAGCGAGTGTGGGCGTGGCTATCAGGTTTAAATTCCGGAACGAGCGTTCATGGATTGAACGACAATGTGATGATGATAGTGCGAGCCCTCAGTCGTAATGGCAGCATCAGTGATAGGAAAGCTGAGACTTGACATTTGTGAGTGCCGTTATGTGCACTTGACGTATCGCGCTACGCATGCTGTAATATGTCTGTTCGTCTATGTTTAGCAAAGGTGTCTGTCTGTGTATGTTTAGCAAAGAGTTGCGATGTTGGATCAAAATTGCAAACTGCTCCCGCAAATGTTGCTGTCTGCATCTTCCGGTCTCACTTTGGCTTCACTAAACGATGACTCCAAGCACCCGCCACTGCAATACATAGCTGTCGTCTCGGCTGCTACTTGCTGCTGCAGTTTTGTGGGTGTGTGAGCGAGTGTGGGCGTGGCTATCAGATCATGGACAAGTTGGTCTTCTGTCTGTCTCGGTTGAGCAAAAAGTTGCCATGTTGGATCAAAACGAGTTTTGCTCTTTGCATCTTGTTGTCTGACATTGGCTTCACTAAACGACGACTGCAAGCACACGTCACTGCAATACATAGCTGTCGTCTCAGCTGCTGCAGATTCTTTGAGAGGCGGCGTGTGAGCGAGTGTGGTGCGGCTAGCAGGGACATTTTTGGTTTTTTTGAATCGATCGAACAACAATGCGGTGGTGAGAGTACAAGCCCTCGTTGCCTCGCCTGCTTGTATATCTGGTCATGTTGCTTCCGTGACATCGCGCGGTGCTCAGCTGACCAAGTAAAATCGACGAAAGACTGAACTGTTTCGGAACCCCATCGATTTTTGCAGGCTGCTGCTAAGCTGCTAAAGCCGTTCCGAGGGAGGGAGGGAGCTATGTGTGTGAAAAGGCTCCGCATGGTTGGCGATCTGCAGGAGGGGTTCGATTGCTTGGGGAAGTTTCTTGCGCGATTCTCCTGCAAAGGAGTGGCCTCAATCATGTTGCAGGCATTTCGTCCGAACCTGTGCTGTTTCAGGAGCCGGAATCTGGCAGATTGCAAACATCACGCGGCCAGCCTTTGCCAGAGGCCGGATCTAACAGCTTGCGCCGTTGCGAAATCTGCCAGCAGTCGTTGTGGAATTGCGGGCGAAGCTGAGAGGCCTCGAAGAGACTGCCCGCTGCCCTGCGAATCTGGCGGATCTGAAGTTCCTTGGCTGCTTGGTGGGAGATTCTCGCCCCGGCAAAACCACCAGGTTTCGGAAGCCCTAATCTTCGCAGAAGACTCTTCAGGACCGCTGATGCTTGCAAGACAGCGGCGAAGTACCTGGGGCCGGGCCTCTGGGAGGGTCTAGGCATAACGCTGGACTTGGTTCGCTTGACTTCGGAAGTGTTCGCTCTGGAGGGTGTGCGAGGGCTTGGGCTTGCTGACAGCATTGGCTAGTCACTGGCAGGGGACTCTGAAAACCAGTCACCTCCAGAGCCTTCTGCAGAGACCGGTCGAAACAGGGCCATCTACAACGATGCAGAAGAGGACGCTGAGTGGCCGCAGGGCTGCTACGAGATTTCAATGGGCCACTTGGCGTGGTGACGAGATTCAACGATGCTGCTGAAGCTTCTACTTTGGCGATCCCGCGCCAGGAATGTTCCAAGGCGTCTACTTCAACACTGCGTCAAACGGCTCAGCCGTGGCAGGTACGCACCCGCTTTGCAAGACCTTGCCGCAGCTTGGACGGCAGGGGCAGGAAAGCCGGGCTTCCGGTTGCCGAATGCGGTGACTTACCCTACCTGGACGGCCCCGAAGCCACCCACAATACAGCCGGCGGTGATTCCGAAAGCCTCAGCCTAAGCGACGAAAGACTTCGAGGCTGGAGGCGAAAGCAGTGGGCGGAGGCTGCCCGCCAAAGTATTCGCTGACGAAGACAGGCAGGGCTTCCAGGGATGCGGATGCCCAGGGCTGGACTGACATGCAGACTGCTCGCTTTCTCGACGCATCTAGGTGGCTTGAAGCGATTTGCACTGAAACCTCCATGCTTCAGGAGCCTGCACACTTGCGCTGCCATTCGTCACAGCAGCAAAAGGAAGCAAGGCTTCTTGGCAAGCTTCTCTGACTTTGATCTTTCATCGGTGGAACTTCACCCAACTAAACCCGAAACCCTGTGTTCTCTGAAGGCGACAGTACAAGCCCTCTCAGAGTGAGAATCCAAACCTTCTATCTTACTGAACACAACACCCTAAAGCCCTGAGCAATACACACTGAAGCCTTACCTGCCTTGTGCGAGTCGCGAGAGTCGAAAGAGGAATCAGAGACTCGGAGAAGTCCCAGTAGCTTGAGGCATGCCCACTGAACACCGAGCACATCGACAGGGCCATGACGTGCCGGAGTGCTGCCGATCTCTTGGGACTGACCTGGGAGGGCTCAGCCGCTCGTTTGGATGACCAATAGCAACAACAAGTGAAGCAAGAATAACACAGAACGAAGTATCAAGACCGACAGCTGAAGAACTAGATAATGGGGCTAGTAAGGCTAATAAGGCTAGTAGTTTTCTCATTCTCATCTTGCATCCTAGCATTCTGTACCATGGCTGAGGTCACGAGTCCAGATTCACCCACGGGTTGTTCCGTGCAGGACGACCAGGCGGGAGGGCAGACAATGAGCCAGAGGTGCCAATAAGAAAAGACTTCGCAGAGAGGGCTCGAGGCAGCCCAATCAGTCTGCTTCAGTCTGACGGTACAACAAACTCTAGCCCACTCTTGAAAGCCCTTTACATCCAGGGCCTACGCCAGTCAGCTGCACCTGCCGTCATGCAGTGCTGTGCGACTCGATGTTGCCGAAAGAGAGATAGCCTCTGTTCTTGGACCTCCTGCCTGGGCCTCATGGTTTGCTTGCGGCAGACTTGCGAATACGATCTGCAGCAGGTCACTTTCAATGGCGAGGAGGGCACGGCGAATAGCCTGGCAGCATCTGAGCTGGATCTTATCTTGAAAGCATGCAATTCCTGTCCTTCGTGGCATCTTGTCACAAGCTGAAGCAAAGACAGCCTTGCTTGAGGCCCCGATATGCAAGCAGGAATTCTCCTACAGCATGTTTGACCCACGCGTCCAGTATTACATACAGTTGATGCGCTTCTCTCAGACTGGCGATGCAGCTCCTCGTCTGCCGCGGGACCGGGGTTTGAAGGCGCCGTTCTGCCTTTTTGCTTGGTCCGTAGCCACCTCTGTCCCAGGCACTTTTCAAAGCCGTTGCAACGGATTCCTCGAGCGACTACTGCTATCTGGCTTATGGCCGATCAATGTGCCAAGACTTGGCAAGGCAGGACCCAGGTAAAGCCATCATGAATGCGGACAGCTTCGGCTACTATGTCATTGATGCCGGCAGTCCAGAAACTCATCTTGTCCAAAGTGGAGAACACGATGCCTAGCTATGGCCATGGCATGACAGTCGTCTTCTTTTGCGCAAGAAGCACCCGGTGGTCAGACATGATCCCAAGTCTAATTCGGGGGACCGCCGCAAGAGTCGGATGTGCTCGACCCGACCGAAGCCACAGTTCAGAGAAGGATCGCTACCAGTTTCTCGCGCGAATCGAGGTCAGGCTGTCTTGGCTTGCTTCAGCTATGTTCTCATCAACCCAGAATCACAGGATAGGACCTCTGAAAACCGTGTAGGTCCCAGGAAGGCATTGTATGGGAATGGACGGATCTCGCGCTCACTGCACGACCCTACAAACACTGAATCCCCCAAAGAAGCTAACCTGTCTATAGCCTGCACCCAGCCACGCCAGCTCTCGGCGTGCCTCAGTACAAATAGAAGTCCAACATAGCACAAGCGGAAACCGATAGCACGCTCTATGCCGGATGGTGGACTTCTGTCAACAAGATGTCCAAACTGCTCAAAGCAAGCTGGACCATATCAGATGCGTGCCCCCGGCCGCACTAATCCAAGTCAGAGCAACGAAGGGTTCAGCTCATTATGCTCCAGGAAGTAAGGGATCCCAGCATAGCCCCGAAGCAGAGGCGTGTGGAGAGGTGAGGTGCATTCCACCCTCAGTCCCTCGGATCTGAGGTCTGCCTGGTCGGTGACCGGGGTCACGGCAAGAGCACGCTCGTGGACCTCCTCCGCCCGCGAAGCGTCAGGGCCACCGAGGACCGAAGGATTCTGAAGCGAAGGAGGCTTCCCTACTCTACTCCTAAATGACTCCATTAGTCTTACGTGTCTTATGCTAGTTATATACACTGTAAAACACTCTGTTTCAGGGAGTGTGTTGCTCTGAAAGAGCCTCGTCTCAGGAGGCCGAGGCTCTGAGGTATCCGAGCCTCTCAGCGACCTCGGAGGCAGACAGAGGGCAGAGATCTACGTCAGCTGCGCATGAAGTTGGCTCGTCCCGTCTCCCGTCTATTCCCGTCTCATGTCGGAAGTCGCAGAGGTTTCTCCCACGGTGCAGCTGGAAGTGCAGACCCTCCTCTTCCCCGGGAAGGAGCTCGAAAGACGCATTGGGACATGTGAGAACAGCATGACAGAGATCTCCGGTGCCGGCACAGGCTTATACAGGGGTCACCAAAAGCAGACCTCGCATCCAACCGCTTAAAGAAAGAAGAACTCCATTCCCCTAGACTCTTGGCAGGCAAGCAAGCAACAGAGAGAGATAGAGAGAGCAAGAAACGTGCCATACTGCAGATCCGCAAGCAGAAGAGTGTATGGAAGGAGGATGCGAAAGAGCCGGATATACTCAGCCGCCGGCAGTCGGTGGGAGCCTCCCTGTGTTAAACATCCACATCTGCTCGCGAGACTGTTTCCATCGCAGCTAAGGCCGACAAGACGCAGAAGGTGCTGACCCAGCCGCTGTCTCCCACGTGCTCTGGCAGCACCTACAGCATCCTAGAGACAGAGAGCGCAACTGAGTAGCGCCATGCCAGGAAACAGAAGACCTTGGAGTTGGAGGTGCAATCTGCCTCTGAGCTGAAAAGGAATCGGAGGAGGGCACCCGGTAGTGGAGTTCCTACGCAAAAGCCGGAAGCAATCGCCAAGGTGGTCCGCGCTCATCGGGTCATCCGTGCATTGAAGAACAAGAAGAGTCTCAAGGAAAGCAGGTCTGAAGGCTCGGATGTTTGCCTTCATGCCATGAAAGAAGTGTTCTCCGCGTATGAGCCTGGCAGGACCAAAGCCCAAACCTCAGTTTCTGCTGACTCTGGGCACTCCTGTCCTCTTGCGCACGCCCTCGTCAATCCATAACTCGGGCCCCGTTTCCGCCTGCTTGGACATGCGTGCCACTGCAGCGAAACTCGCGTTGGAGTGAGTCAGCTTCTCAAGCAACAGCCTTCTAGCATTTCCCCAGGTCAATCGCTTGCGATTGCAAGGCAAGCGCGAGTCGTTAAATGAACAAGCTGGGTTTCCCACGTTGCAACTGTGACATGAACTCTCGGCTGGACGATTTTCCGAGCTGTTAAAGTCGACGTTCCAAATTGGCATATCGCCGATCATTCCAGGCATTCTACCTGTGTGTGTGTGTGTGTGCGCCCCATCGGCTGTCCTTAGGCGGGCAGCCTCTGGGACCTCATCGGGGCCGGGTCGAGTTCGCAGCTCGCAACTACATGGTGGAGAGGTGCCACAGTGAAAGAGGGCCGAAGATAGGTTCTAATGAGCAGGTTTTGCTCTTGCGGGAAGCCATCCCAACAGATCGAAGCTGCAGTTTTGCATAAGACGACGATTTTAGGTGGTAGGATTTTGCAAGTAGCTGTGATGATCGCAGGTTTAGGCCGATGCAGAAGGGGCACGTACATCTTCCGCGGTAGGTGGCCTTTGCTGACTTGTCTGAAGCCACTGTTGCTAGGGCTCTGCCGGGCTCAGTGCCCTCGCCCGCGCCTCGCGCATCTTTAAGCCACCTGGCCTTGTTCAATGCACTCATACAGTGTACATGATTCAACTGTACGGACTCACTGAAAGCAACTCACCAGAGGAAGTCCTTGGACGGCAAGTTCCTGGGGACGCGCACGACCACGCTAACAAAAGGTCTGGGACTGCGACTTCAGGCAGAGCTTGTTGTGATTCCATCTGCCTTTGCTTTCTGCAGACATGCGTTTCCTTTCCGTGGAGTTCGATAGTTGCAGGCCACAGCAAACCGGTGCCCAAACGCAGCCTGTGTGCAGGCAGATGCAGAAGACGAGCCGCTCGATTGCCTTGCTGCCCAAGCACGGTCCAGAACAGAACTCCCTAAGGCCCTAAGACGCGCCTAAGCGGCGTGAGGGGTCGGGGTCAGCCCGGTCGCCCATAAGGAAAAGGGTGGAAAGGCGAGGTGAGGGTTAATCCTCACCGTCAGCAGCAGTATAGACAATGTTTAGGCCTCGCCGCACCTTCGGCCACCAAGGATGAGCCACACCGAACAAGAATCGTCATGTGTGCAACAATGACAATGAGGGAGCCCCACAAGGGCTCAATATCGCAGGGAAGCTTCGAGTCGAGACGACTGCGACTTCAGCAGGTCGCTGCTCAATGGAGCATCTAACCTCGCCCGGCTCGAGAGCGGTGTCACTCGGAATTTGCATAGAGGGTTGACCAGCTCCAGGTTGCAAGCTGACCTGGATCAGCTGAGCAACGCGCTTGCTGAGCCTTTGTTGTGTTCCCGAGCTGCAGAGCAGGGCTTTGGATTCCGAAGAGGTCCCTGATTGTGTCTGGAGTGCCCACGGTCGGTGCATACTAGGCTACTTCATCGACACACCGGGTCAAAGCAGCCTTTTGGGTGAGGCACAGGCAGGGCCAACGAGACCGAGACCTCTGAGCCTATGAGGGCTTCTGCCGTTCTGTTGTGTTGCTCAGCTGCTCAGCTCTTGCGGAGGCCGCATTGCGTTTGGCTGACAGCGTGCTGCTGGCGGGGCTCTTACACGATCCTTTGGATGATTCGTGAGGTCCAGGCTGTGTAGAAGCTTAGCATCCCGCCTGGGTCCTGAAAACTGCATTTTGCATGTCGTCCGAGTGTTTCATTTCAAGTTCAAGCATGGAGAGTTGGCAGGTGGTGAACCCCGTAGAGGGGCTTTCGTTGCATGGCGAGGCCGGTCCCAGTTAGCGAGCCAGCGCTCTCCCTTGTTTTTTTCTATGGGTCAAGGCCCTGCTGCGCCGTGCCGCGGCCGAACGTCTCCAGGCAAGCTCTCCGAAACATTCTTAAGGGGAAAGGGGGGTTGAGGAATCTCTGCTTGGTTTGGGAGGTGGCCATGGTCTTGAGTCACTTCGACAGCTGCTTGGACGGCCCGGAGCTCGGAGACGTGTGACGGTGCCGGGCTTCGCCAAGAGCGGAGACTTCCGATGCCAGAAGCTGCAGGCCGCTACGATGCCAAGCAGCTCGAAGATGCGATGCACTCCGTCGTAGATCAGGCCCCGCGCGCCCCTCGCTAGTGCCCACACGGCGGTGCCTGAGCCCCGCCTCTGCCGAGGCGAACACCGTCCTGGCCACGGCGGGGGACGAAGTAACTCGAGGTGAAGCTCGAGCCGCCCCGCTGCAGACGATTCCAAGCGTTCCTAGGGCCCTTGAAAACAAAGGCCCCTTAGGTCTTACAACCCCGGCCTTCTCTTTTCTCGCCCACATTCACGTATGTTTAACTGTGAATCTGCGAACAGCTGAGTCAAGTTGCATGTCGATAGTGCGAAGTGTGTGCAACATATACTTCGCTGTCTGAGCTGCTTTTGTCAGCATTGCAAAGACAACGCGATAGCCTGCAATCCGAAGATGATGAGCCGGCTACCTTGTGTATAGATCCTGAGTGTTGTGCCATGAGTGTACCCTGCATCGTAGGTTCGTCCTAGCCAGGCGGGAGGCAAAAAATTCACATATCCACCACACGCACATATCTAGGGAGACACATAATACAGACCGATGGATGGATGCATGTTTTTAGGTCGAGATTTAAATAGATGCAGATGTAGTTTGATCTAGAATCTAGAGATATACTGGTTTCTAGATACAGGTACAGCTACAGATATAAACACAATAATTACCTGTGTAGAGCTGTAGGTATAGATATTATGAGTACCGAGATGGACATGCATATGGATATCTACGTCTATATGCATATGGATGTCTATAGATAGACAAGACGGGTTGATAGACATACATGCACACACACGAGTACACACCCTAGGTGTAGAGAGATCTGCACATCTCTATCTCTCTCTCTCTCTCTCTGAGCTCTTTCCTGCTGCCCAAGATCCGGCCTGAGCTCGGGGACTTGGTCTTCGGAAGCACCACGCAAGGCGAGAGCTCTCCGGTGAGCCGGGCAGCGAGGGGAGCTGAGAGCCGTTCTTTCCGAGATTTTTAGAATTCTAGAGTTTGGGGGTTCAGGGTCTGTTGGTAAGGGGGGGCGGTGTCTGTAACAGATTCTATCAAGCTGCGGTGCAGTTCTGCTTCTTCAAAGCAGGCGGCGGAGTTTTGTTGTTTCACGGCACCACTTGTAGCACGACGCCTTCGGTTCTGTTGTGGAAGCTCAAGGAGGCTGGTGAGGTGAGGTAAGCCGGAGATGGTATGAAAGAGGCTTCGCCATCTCCAAATCGACAGCCTTTGTGCGAGTTTCTACGAATGACCAGGGGGTCAGCTGGGGGGGATTGCTTATGTCGGTGACAGACTGGGGTGCTGTCACCTCGGCAGGCTGGATGATTTCCTTGCCACTGTTGGCTCGGAACTTCAAGGACTGTGATTGCTTCAGCTTAAACCAGATGTGTTTTTGCTCACGAGTGTATGGGGCCGGCCACTGTGTGGGATGGCCCTGGGACCTGGGACCAGGACAGGTACGGCCTCAAAACTACAGCGCCCACCTCAGCCTGGACAAGCCTTTGATCGAGCTCTGCACTGCAGGGCCTGAAATAGTACACAGTAAGGCGACAGTCTTTGCAGTCGCTGCCTGTATCGACTAGGGTCCCCGGCCCAAGTCATGTCAAACCTTATGCAAGCTCAGGTAAGCGCAAGTTATTGTAGTAGATGAGAGGCTTCCTGACAGATCCTCACGCATTGCTTCTATCCAAGCCTCTGATCAACCCGTGGCCAAGCGCAGGCCGACAGTGATCACCTGGTTGCTTGCTGTGGATTTCTCACAATGGTCCATCTGGATTTTCATTGCTAGTATCACCATTCAGCATGACCACCAGGCCAAGACGCAACAGCCAAGAATAGGATCAGATCTCCCGCACGGATGACTCATCGTCGGTCGCGCCAGTCAGGCTTTACATGAGTTGCGAGCCCAGGCGCTTAGCCGTCGGCTTTGGTGTGCTGGCCGTCGAGCAGGCGTGCAGGCGAGAGACCCATATGGGCACGCCTGGCAACTTCGAGCTTTGGGTTAATTCACACGCGCTGTCGGATTCAGGACACGGTCGACCCTGAGGAAGGGGAGGAGTGAACAGAGCACAGTCCAAGTGACATCTGTGAAAAGCACGGCAGACTGTGGCCTTCGAGGAGCCTTTGCTACGGCAGTTGGTATTAGAGCCGCTGCTGCAGCTCTGCGCGGCCTTTCGCCGTCAGGCACAGGGGCCGTCAGGCACGGCTCCGTTTTTTCTGGAAAAAGAGGGTCCTGCTACGGAAGGACTGGGAGCTCGCCCGCAGCATGCTTGAAGGGCTGAGGCTTCCCGCCCTTGGCTACGGAGAGTCTGGGCTTGGCAAAGAGATGTAGAGTTCTTGCTAGATTTCGACAGCGCTTCCGAGTTGTGGTTGGGGTCTCAGTCAGCGCAAGCTCACATCAGGAAAAATATCTGGCATACCACTCGCTGCTCACAAAGATCATGAAGCGATTGGCAGATGGAGATGCCAGCCAGGCCAGCTCGGCTACCGCATGTTTTGGAGTGCAAGCATGCTTGCATTGCGAGTCGCGAGGTGATGTGTCAGCTGCTAGCTCACCGGCTTCCTTCTCCGCGCCAGGCCGAGGGGTCCCTGGCAAAAGAGGGTTTTGCTTGTTTTGTGTCATGCAGAGGCTCAGGCCGCCGGACGTGCTCAGCATCTCTTCCTCGGAACGCCCGAAGGGGAGGCCGCGCATGCGCTGCCCCCTGGCAGCTTTGATGGTGGAGGTTGCCGCAAAAATACGTCTAGGATGCTTTCTAAAGAAGTGGACGTGGCCGTGGCCATGCTGAAACCCGCTAAGAAGAGAGCACCTCCGCACTCGCCCCTTTTACTCCCTGCACCGAGGAGCAGCTGCTCGCCTCAGGGGCCACTGATCCTGGCCGTCGCACGCCGGATTCCTGCGGCCACGTCGAAGGGCCGATGCTACGTGCTGGGCCGTGTGTTCTGTGGCAGCGCGGGCCGGTGCCAGCGTGTGAGGTGCACGGAAAGCGACGGGATGGGGAATAAGGGGACCGGGAGCGCGAGCATCGAGCAGCTGGCGATGCCTCTTTCCTGCTTCGCCGAGCCTCTGGAGATGGTTCCAGCAGGAAACCTGGTACTTGTGACGGGGCCTGACCACCTCATCTTCAAGTCTGGGACGTTGTTGGACGAAAGCCTTCCCAGCGATTCCGGTTTGGCCACGGCACCGCAGCTGCGCCCACTAGTAAGAGTCTCGGTTCGGCCGAAACATGCGGAGGACCTGCCCAAGCTGGTCGCAGCCTTACGACAGCTCAGCTCCTGTGATCCTGCGGCGCGCTGCCGCGCGGAAGAGTGGGGTGAGCATGTCATCAGCGGTCTCGGGGAGCTTCACCTGAGCACGTGCGTCAAGGAGTTGGCAGCAGAACTTGCTGATGAAGAGGCGGGGAGGTCTTCGGTCTCAATAAGCAGACCTAGTAAGCAGACCTCTTCAAGTTGGGCGCACGGTACTTGAGCCCTTGCTGTACTCATACTTCTCTGACTGAGCCTGCAGAGATCGTGGCACCGGGCCTTGCGTGAAGGTCGAGCTGGTCTATGACAAGCCTGAGTACGTGACGTCGCGGATAGGATTGGGCGACTGGAGCTATGGCGTAGAGTACAAAGAGACCGTCCGCTTTGCCGGTGCCACCTCGGAGATTTTGGCGCCCAGCTTTCGGTGTTCTGCCCAAGCATCGTCACGCCCTCAGAAAATGTGCAGCTCTTTTCATGGGATCTCTCCTTTCCTTCTTCTCCAGACTTTGCAACAGGAGCCTCGACGAGGAACTTTGCCAGGAGCTCGATGAGGCAGCGCCGGGGGGTTCTGACTCTACCCGCCTACCCGGGCCTACCCGCTTGCCAGGGCGGTCTGCTTGTTCGAGCCCGAGCGCGGCAGCGGGCGCTCATGCTCGCGGATCGCTACAACTGGGCCCTTGAAGAAAGTCAGAACCTCTGGGCCTGTGGCCCTGCGGATGGGTGCGGCGCCAATATCTTTGTGCGGGGTCGGCGCCTCAGACAGGGACCTCATGCCGTTCCTCATGCTGCGCTGCTTCTCCTCCTCCTCCTCCTCCTCCTCGTCCTCGAAGAAGCCGTTTCTTTGTTGTCATGCGGTAGTCGTCAGAAAGAATGCTCTCACAGAAGGCAAACATGCAATGAATCATGGGTTTCAACTGCAGGTGACAGCGACTTGAGAGAGGCAGCTGGAGCTGCGATGGTTGGGGCCTGCCGCTGGGCCTCCGCCGAGGGTGCGATCTGTGAGGAGCCTTTGCGAGGCATCCGCTTCAACCTCGGCTTTACCTCGCCACTTGCCTAGCATCGCGCAATGTTGCAGTAGTGTCACTCGGCCTCTTTGTGATGCGAGCAATTGCTAGTGGCCGGCAAGTGATTTTGATGAGGCCACCAGGGCAGGGCAGCAACCAGGACCACGCAGATGCCACCATTGCACCCAGCTTTCGCTGGGCCCGCGACTGCAGCGCTCTCGCTCGACGCGTTCTGTTGGCATCCGCTTTGGACGTGGCAGCTGAACCGGGCCTTCAAGAACCCTGGTCCCTTGCAGAGGTAATGCTGCCCGCAATGGCACCTGAAAAGGTCGCACACTTGTGGGGTCTGCTGTGCGGGGTCCGTGGCCTGGCTTTTGAGGCAGGCTGCGATCCGGATGAGGAAGGAAGGAGGGAGCAAAAGTGGTGTTTCCAGCTCCCCACCCTGGAGCTCGTCGCCTTAGAGCCTCGGCTCAATGAGGTTCTCGGCGGCTCTGTGGTGATCAAGGACTGCTTTCTCCGCTGGGTGACGCTCCCAGGGTCCTTCCTTGGCGAGGATTCCAAGAGCAGCTACCTCAAGAGCGTTGTGCTCGGCCTGCGCCGCTGGCGCCAACTGAACCCAGCCATTCCTGGCCAGGAGGACATCCTTGCATCAACCCTTTGAGGCTTGAAAGCTGCGTATTTCCGAGATTTCCCAGCCGATGCGGGGCACTACGCGGACTCGACAGCCGGGAGGGATCTGTTACATGTACATACGACCAGCCTGGAGCAGGCTGTCTTTAGTCTTTAACTATTTTAAACACTTCGTAATGAATTTCCCACGTGAAGGTCTGCAAGAAGCAGCCGCAGTTTCACACGACATGGACGAAGGCTCCAGAAGTCGCACGCGACAGCTTGCATTCAGACCGCTGCCTTTGCAGCCCGCAGAAGTTGACTGCAACTTGCCCAGTCGGAAGTTGATAATGTCCGGTCCTCCATCAGCAGCGAGATCGCAGCTAGCAGCAGACAGTACCTACTGTACGCAACAGCTTCGAAGATCGGTGGCCTGACGATGATCCCATCTCCAAAATTCAATCCGCGTGCGGGGGGCACGATGTTCCGATGTTCCGGGCTGGCCGAAAGTACGAAGATCGAAGAGTCCGTAGTCGCCATACGCAGATTTCTAGATGCATGAGCAGCTGGATGCCAGCAGCAGTGGCCGGCTGCCATGTGAGTGCCAGGATGGCTGGGTTTGGGGGTTCCTTTTCGGGACTCGTAGGAAGGAGCTCTCCTGGCTTCGCTTTACTTCTTCCTTGCGTTGCTTTGCCTGGCACATGTCCGTTGTTGTGCTTTCCCAGGAGAGGGCGCGGTATGACTTCTACGCTTCTCCCCACGGCTCGGTCGAAGAGGCCATGTTTACCGGCATCCTCGATCACTGCCAACAAAGATCGCTTTGATGTCATGAGCCCTTCCTGCAAGATGTTGAGGCTTTGCCCAGTTCTTCCGCGCTGAAGATTTCCACCGAAGAGAGCTGCGAAGGTGCCTGCTGTTGCTCAGGTCAGCTCTGTGCATTGAAACCTTAAACCCTACCCTGCACCCAAACCCCTACCCCAGAACTCCAAACCCTGTCGTGTTTTGGCTTGGCTATTCGGGGTTGCCGTTTCCGATGGTTTTGTTAAGGTACACCTCTTTGGTTTCAAGAGTTCACTTGATGGCAGGTAGGCCGCACAATTGTCAAGTTGCATAGCATGAGAATCTGGTGCAGCCTATTGCGTCGGTCCTCCCGAAATCGTGATGGCAGCTGGTAGCGCGAACTGCGAAACCAAAGCCGATGCTCGAGCCGACGAGGCCTGCGAGTCTCCGCCCTCCTGGCCCGCTTGAGCCGCCTGCTCTTCGGGCTCGGGGTCTGAAGACATGAGGCTTCATCTCCATATTCTTGGGTCTTAGAGTCTTAGAGGTCTTGTTGTTCTTGCCGTTCTCCTCCTCCTCCTCCTCTTGATGACCTTGAGCCCACGTCCCGTGCTCTGCTTGCCACCATGACAGCATGCGCGGCCATCGGTTGCTTACTTGACATAGACGATCGCGACATTGCACTTGCAGGTCGCCGGCTTGAAGCCATTGAGCCTGATGCCACCAAGAAGGCTCCAGCAGCTTCTCGTGTGTCCGCGACAACGTCGGATTGGATCCATGTCCACATCAAATCCTACTTAGATCGGAGGTATGTTGGCCCAGTGCACATACATGACCATGGAACTGCTCTAATGGGCGGAGCAACGAGTGAGAAGATTGAGCCTTGGAGCCTCCGCTGTCGCGAGGCCGGTTCCCGTTCTGGGAGGTGTGGTGTCCGGATCTTGCATGGCAGCTCTTGGCGGGGCGCCTTCGCGTTGCAAGTCGAGCTGCATCGAACATCTCTGATTTCAAGCTTCTTGAATTCCTCGAGCTCCTGCTGAGGGGTTGTGCTCAGACTGCCAGAGCTTCGAGGCCAGCGACACTGGGCCTTGCGGCTGCGCCAGCAGCATGTCTTGAAGTCTGCGAGACACAGGTCCGGTGCTCGAAATCGGGGCGCTGGGCTGAGACTTCTTGTAGTGGACTTCGCCTACTGTGACAGATGTTTGCCTTCAAGCCTTCAAGGCAATGTCTGTTTCGGTCGTCTAAACGTGCGTGGATACGGTGGGCAGGCAGGTCGGCAGGTGCATAAACGTGGTTGAACCTGCAAGGCGAGCTGCTGTGCAACCTAAGACCTAAGAAGAGTGAAACAGCTTCTGGCGATTCTGGTGGGGGCGGCACCCACCCAATATAAGCAAGACGCAAAGCAGGACTTGACATGGAGGAGGCTCGAAAACAGTATTGGAAGGAAGGCAAACACGACGATCAGGGACCAGGTATAGCATAAGCAATGAAGCACAATCTGCATGTCATGTGGTTTTCTCGATGTTTGCTGATTCACCCATCATGATTTGCTCGTGCTCGCCGGTAGGTTCCATGATCAACGCATCGTCTGATTCATCACTGTAGCCACAAGTAAGGCAAGAAACGAAAAGACAGATGCACCAACCAAGCGGCGAAGACGTGCTTGGGAGACTGGTGCGATGCAGAGAGAGTTGTGCGTCTGGCAACGGCATGCAACGGCGCCCTGCGCCTGCGAGTCGATGAGATGGATATTACCAAGTTACCAATGCTATCCAATACTGTTCTATGGATATTACCGCTACAGTACTCGTACCAGCACTATGCTAATTGTATTGAGGCCCCTAAATCAGATGAAAACCCGAAGCTCTGAGGCTGGGCGTGGGCTTCTCGGCTTCGCCGCAGCAGCCGCTCTCGGATGCTCGGGGATGGTCACAGACTTGGAGGATCTCCTCAGGGATCTTTAGGACAGACGGGGTTTAAGGAGTCTACTGTAGGGCCCTAGGGTCTTTGGAGGGCGAGAGGTTGAACGCTTTGAGGGGTTAGGTGGTGGGTGGTGCAATTCTGCGTTCGTGCGGCGACTCGAGGAGGACGTGTGTGAAGCTTTGGGGCGGAGCCTGCAGGCGGTCGCCTCAGGTACGATTTCAGCGACGGCCACCAGCTGCTTTGGGAAGGGAGCGACCCTTGTCCTTTGTGGAAACCAGGCCACAGCGGAGCTGGGAAGTTGCCACGGCCCTGGGTTCTGACCGTAGGACAAGGCGCGATGTAAGCGGCGCTGAAGGCTTGGATGTGCACGCAGAAGTCTTGGACTGGGCCTGGCTGCCTCGATTGCTCGGCGACCCAGCTCGATTCGATGGTCCTGTAGCCCCTAAGCCAGGATGATGGCCTGGAAGAGGCCACTTCGTCCCAGCCTTGAGAACCAGAGCAGAAAAGGAAGCCTGGAGAAGTCATGAAATCCTATAGACGGCGGCCCAGAGGGCAAATCGGTGGCGAGGCGCTTGGGAGACCCCGATCCGGGCCTTCTTTTGGGAGCCGCCTGGAACCCAGATGGGCTGGGCTTTGTGTGACCTTTGCTGGGAATTTGCGCGCATTCAACTTCAAAGCTGCAAGTGCCCGCAAGTTGCGCCATGGCAAGGAAAACGACGTTTGGGCAATCCTTTCAGAACCACCCGGAGCATCCGGTTTGAAGCCGGTTTTGCCGCAGGGCCCGGCATTGCAGGGCCAACGTCAACACATCATAAACAAGGACAAGAAGCCGCACTCAAGCAAGAGAGGTCTCGAGTTGTTGCCCATGAAAGCCACTCGACACCCATCTCCTCACGGTTCTTAGGATTTGTTGTGGGCAGATGATGCAGTCGACTCCTTGTTCGAGGCTTTCCATTTTGCCCTCTATTTCGGGACTTGAGACTCGGTAGCCGTAGTGCCTGTGCCCTGCGCTGCATTCGCTGCGAGGCTGTCGAGAAAGCGGTGACAGACGGATGGGTGCCATAGCTTGTTTCTGGACTGTTTCTGGACGCTTGCCGTGTTCCTGCTGGGTCACGAAGCCAGACTTTCGTCTACGGCGCATCGGACCGCCCCTCCAATGACCTGTTGGCACGGCAACTTGCAGCCAGACCCTCGGCGTGGGTTTCGTTTTGATGGCCGTCTCGTGAGCTGGGCTTGAGGAGATGAGAGGCACAACCTTGGACAGTTTCAGCTATCGCGTGGAGAAGGCTGGACTGTAAGGGAGAAAGATGGCCGATCCGAGCCGAAACAAGTTCACCAGTGCCGTGGGAAATCGTCGGCTTCTGTGAGCGGCGCCTCGAAACCCCGAAAGAGTCATGTCGAGGTATGCCGTGAGTGCTACGGCTGGCAGACTGCTGAAGACTGCAGAGTCTTTGTGTGGCGAAGGGCAACAGGAAGCAAAGAAACACTGGCCCTAGTCATCTCCATTGTTCTTCTTTCTCTTGCCCTGCTCAATAGACCTGGCCAGCTGCTGGCTCTCTGCGTCTGATCGACGTGGTGATGCTTTAAACAACTTAAATGAGTATAGTTGGTTGCATTTCTTGCACCTGCGAGAAGCAGTACTGCACAGGTCAAGCCCCTCCTAGCTGTTGAGGCTGTTGTCATGGTGCCCTGGACGGATGCTCATCTCGGTTCAAGGTCCTCGCCAAAGAGCCAGCGGTAGGAAGATGCGTGCCGAAACCAGGGCGAAGCAGCAAAAGAAAGCTGCAGGCCCTCCCGCAAACCCCAGCCCTAGCACCATCTCATGACATCCAGCCTGCATTCCAGGCCGGAGCCCCCAGAGCCTGCGACGAGATGACAGCTCACCGTCTCTCAAGTCCATGACAATGAAGGCCCGGCCCGGGGAGGGGAGGGAGCTCCGGACACTCCAAATGGGGCTCAGGCAAAGCCGCGCTCGCTCTTCCTGGGGTCCCTCCTGCAGTTCCTCGAGCTCGAGTTTGAAATCGGATCGGTAGTCTGGCCGGAGGCTGGGAAAGCAGTGTCTCCGGAATCACAGCAGATACGTCCGCGGCAGTTGCACTGCGAATGGCGGAGCAGTTGCAGCCGAGCTGTGTAAGAAGAGCAGCGTCACTGTCAGTCCTCATAACTAACGCATCGTTCGCAATAAGGTCGTATCCGTATATGTGTGTAAACTTCGAATATCTTGGCGGGTTGTGTGAATTGGTGCTGGTGCTGAACTTCATCATGACATCAGCGGTGTCCTGCGCAGGTCTTTAGTGCTTTGACCATGGCGGCTCCGTCCCTGTATGCCTTACATGCCGCGCCTGAGCTTGCCTCCAACGCAGTTTTCCCGGAGGGTGGCGACCCTCAGTGGTATGTGCGGCAAGAGCAGTAGTCATTTTGTACCTCGCACAAAAAGGCGTTTGCGGTCACTTGAGCACTTTCATTGCTTGAAGGTGTCTGGGCGCTGGCGATCGGCACCATGATGCACTGCCCCTTCAGTATGGCATACCACCTCGCCTCCGCCCTTCTCAACGAGCGCCTGAGCAGGACTTCATTGGCAAAGAGCGAGGCTGCAGACTCCAGATGCGTGAAACCTTCCCCCGTGAAGCTTCGCAGAGCCTAGGCGTGAGGGCTATGACCCCATGTGCACTCCGTTTCGCACGCTGGACATCTCAGCGATCCACATCAGCCGCTTCAACGCAGTTTGCAGAAATGCCTTCGTGTCGGGATTGAGCAGAAACCCGTTGCGCGGTTTGACACGTATTCCATGCAATTGCGACACTACGAAGTTGTAGGGACATGCGGAGGTGTTGTTGTCCGCGGAGGGAGGTTGTGGTACTTGCCTGTAGACCCCAATAGCAGACCGTGGGGTTGATGGCTCTGCACGAACGCTTATCTAAGCTTCGGTGCTTCAGGGCGCTTTCCTGCACGGAGCCGACTTCGTTGTTGCTAATCACTGAGTCATCGCGGTTCTATCATTCTATCTTTAACTCGTTCATCGCAGCCTACCGTCTCGCACCATGAATGCACCGTCCTGTCAGATTGCGTCGTCTTCGGCTGGGCCCTGAGCGGCGGCAGCCTGATCTTCGCCCTCTTCATGGCAATGCTCAACGCGCCATGCGCGGACCCGAAGAGATCGGGATGAGTCGTGAAGAGTAGCGGGCAGTTGAAGTGCCATGTCTTCTGCACTCGAAGCTGGTCAGACGTTCAAACGAGTATTCTGCGTGCCTTCGGGCGGGTTCGCAAACAGTTTGGTTTGATGCTGCGCTGACCGTCATAAACGCCCGAGGCATCTTCATACTACTGCGCCGCGTCGTGCAGGGAAGGCGCATGTTTGGTTTGGCCTCGACAGCATCAGAAGCAGCCTGCTGCATTACCTCTTCGAAACACAGACATTTTTCGAAAGAATGTTTTGAAGCATGAAGCCCGATTCCCGTTGACTTGTCCGAGTTGTGAGATGTACGATCACCACTTCGGCCCCGAGCCCTTGACCCTGTGCAAACAACGTGATTCCAACCACTTTGGAATGGTTTCACTACAAAATAGCCTCGCCTGGCTTGTCCGAGAATGGATACCGGAAGCCGGATATCCCAGAAGTCCAAGCCACGCTTTCAGTCAAAGCTGACGTTCCTGGGTACCGTGCCCGAAGAAGGGTTGTAGGTTTGTAGGCCTTTTCAAGGGAACACGTAGGAACCTTGCGAACCGAGCTGTGCCCCATACCCGTTTGTGCGCCGACATGTCTCTGAGTGCAGGCTGTTGTTTTCGGCAGGATGCTGTCACTTTCAGACGACCTTCGCGAGACTTTGAAACCCCGGTAGTGCTGTGCTGAAGCCCCCGTTTGCAGGCCCGGTGGCCTGGACGAGAACGTTCGAGTGACCTTTCAGGCCTCCTCACCTTATCGCGATACTGAGTCATGCCTGTGTGTTTGCTTGCAGAAGTCCTGAAGTCCGGGTGAAGAGAAGCGACGTTGAAGACACAGTCTGAAGACTATTTACGGTTGGAGCTATAGTAGCGTGCAGTCACGACCGTCGCCCCAATGGTTCAACAGCATGCTTCAATCCCTCCTCTCTCCCTGTCCAAGCGTGTCTCCCTCACGTCCCTGCCGTCTTTCCAAGCCGGGAGTTTTGATTCGGTCGGATGAACCGCAGACTGCAGACCCTGCCTTCCCTTGCTCCTGCGCATGCCATCGCGTCCTCTGCAGCATCCTTAATGTATTAGCTCGAAGCTTTGAATACTTGGTAGCTCTCTGATTCCAGGCCTGCTGAGCAGAGGTACCATGTCAGTAGCACGACACACTCTATCCATGGGCTTCGCGAGGTTCTTACATACACGCTCCCCTTGCTCTTTCGCGGCCTCTACTTCCACTATCTGGCCACCATCTCGTTTGGGCCCCAATTATTGAGCAACATCGCTGTTGCGGCAAGGGCGTGCTTTGAATTTGGCAAGAGGATGTGGCTGGGTGCCTGCCTGTTTTTCGCCTTGGCCAATTACTTCAGACTGGGAGGAGGACGTCGCCAGGGCTGAACATAGAAACACTCCACCCGCACATGATAGGGCCTGATAGGGCAAGGGCTAGGGCTGAGAAAGAGCAAGCACTAATGTGCAGGATGGAGCCACGGGATTTTCCACCTCATGTGCTTTCCCTTTCTCCACTTCATGATGTCTGGCCTGGAGCTCGGTCCCACAGCGCAAGCCGCGAGCCATTCAAGAACCTTTAATCACCGGAAAGAACTGACAGGCGTGGCCAGCGCCTAGTACTAGGCCCGAGACGAGGAGGACAAGATGCACGATTTTTGCATTACCGAGGCAGCTGTAAGCTGACTTTTTCTGGCGCGCGGCAGGGAGAGAGGTGTTCTGCTTTGACAGCAATGTCAGCAATGTGACTATGTGCGAACATATTGGAGCATCCGCAGCGGGCCAGCCTCATAAAATGTGACAGCCTGAAACGGGCTGCAATGACTGTTTAACATTGTTTAACCAGATTTTCTGGAGGGATCGCCTACCCGTTGATCCGTTCCATAGACTTGGACAAGCTCACATAGAACGGAAAGGAAGCATGCACTGCCGCTGCGGCTGAGGATGAAGGAAGTTGTGCTGAGGCTTGGGGCTTGAAGGGCTCAAAGGCTTTTGGGAATTGGCACTCTTCATTCGCGGATGTCTTGGCTTCTGACTTGATGTTTGCCCCGGTTAATTGGGGAGAGTCAGTGGGTGGTCGACGAAGCTTGTCGCCAGCATGGCATCGCGCTACCGTCGCCGGGGGCTGAATGCGCAGACGGACCATGACCAAATCTATAGCTACTCCTGCAACCAGCGCATGCACCTCTTGCGAGTGGAAGCATTGCAACTTCGCATGTAGCCATTCCCAGATTATCATTGCTGCCTCGCGTCAGAAGACAAGTGCCAAAGACGATTCCCAGTGTCCCGACGAGGCGAGTCGCCATTCGCCGCAGTGGATGCCTACCTTGAAGCTCGTGGCCTGAACGTGGAAGGCTTGGGGCAGCCTGGGCTTGGGATTCCTCTCACCTCTACCTCAGAGAGTTGGCTCCTTGGGGCACTCGCATTTCGGATGTGCCTGGATCAAGTCGTGTGAGTTGAGCTTCTGAAGCCGCAAGACACCGCGAGAGTTGTCATGTCAGGGCCCGTTGCGAGCATTGCCCCGCAGAGCTTTCTGTTCGGTGCGAGCCATCGACAGAGTGCCAGTTCCCCAGCGTCTGAGTCTGCCGGAATGTTGATTCGTGCACGTTGCTCAACGGTGGTACGGTGTGCAGTGGTGTGTTCTTCGGCTGGCAGTTGTGCCAATCCGAAGCCTAGACGTCCTTGAGAACGCCGCAGCAAAGCGCATGTCCATGAACATGCTACACATGCGCGGCAAAGCATTAAGCTGAAAGCCTGAGCCCCTGAAACAAAGGCCGCCTAGCCCCAATTGCCACCCGTGAGCATACCAATGCCAATGCTTCAGTTGGATTCCAGTAAGAGTGCGGCCAAAGCCCCGAGCTGAGCTTTGGCTGCGCATTGAGGCTGCCTCGACCAGCGGCAATGCTCGTGTGGGACTCAGTCCAAGAGGAAGGCGCGGATTCGGCTTCGCATCCTTCGAGTGCAACCACAGCAACGGCACTTCGGCACAGCAAGGGTTCGAGGTTGTCGCCGGGCGGTTTTTCCAGAAGAAGATAGCCAGGGGTTTTGCGGGTGGAAACGAGGGTGCCATGGTCGGGGCTTGCGGGTGGGTTTGTTACCCCCCGGGACTTGCTCCAAGTCTTCGAGAAGCTCAAAGGCCTTTACAAGGGCAGCAGGGGGTATTCAAGCCAACACTCACGAGACACAGGTTACACTGAGCAAAAGAGCAAAAGCAAGCCACAGTGCTGTGTGGTGGTGGCGGGGGGTTTGGGAGGGGAATGCGGATAGATATGGGGCGAGGAGGCATGAAGCAGGAAACAGGTAGCACATGCTGTAGAGTGGAACTTATGTGTTTCGTTACTGATATGAATCTGCCTAGTACTGAAGAGAATTTTGCCACAACACGCGCGTGTACCCACATTCTGCTACCTCATCGGTCACAAAAAGAATACCTGCGCCTCCCTGCCCCGCCCTGCCCCGCCCTCCTTTTCAATTTTCCATGCCTCGTGGAACCTGAGGCACGAGGAAACGACATGCCGAAGATCCGGAGCCCCGGCGAGTTGCCACACCGCAGGCTCGGCACTCTTCCGATTTCTTTGAACCCCATGTGCTGAGCCTGCATGTCCTCATCCGACGAAAACGGCCAAGCTTGGGCTGCTAGCGGCTACGCTTCAGAATCGGCAATTGAATCAGGCGGCCAACTCATGGCCAATGTCTTCGGCCTGGCAGATGCCAGGCGGATTCTTTCCGACGGCTGTCCCTGACATCGGCTCGAGTGCCCCCCGCCCAAGCGAGAATCCAAGGCCAGCTCTAGGCTGGATGCCGAACCCAACACATCCGGCACCTGCGCCGCCTGCGCCCATGCAGCCGGCGGCGTTCGCCTTCCTCCCGCAGGTTTCCGCCACGCCAGCCTTCCAACCCACCCACCATGCAGGCCTTCCCAAAGCCACCAGGCAGAGGCCACATGGGACGTTGCTGGATCCTTAGATCCACGGCCCACAGGCATGGTCCATGCGCCTGAGGCCTGAGCCTTTCTGCTCTCCAAGGCAGATTGAGCTTCCCGACCTCTCGCCGGAGCAGCAACTCGCCGTTGACGAGCCGCCAGCACCTCAACGGGCGAAGCGAGAATTGAGGTAAGCCTCAAGCCGAGCATCGCTCATGAACTACAGGCTTTGGTTTCACTCGTGGGGAGTCGTGAGTTCGTTCAAACCTGACAAAGAGCACTCTGCCAAGGTTGGACTGCCCACTCCTTGTTCTGGCCGGTCCCGGTAGTGGCAAGACACACTTCCTGGCATGCCGCATCACGCGCGCACTGTCGGCATCTCCGCCCCAGGCCTGTCTAACTGTCGAGCTCGCTCTGGTCTTGTGATTTGCTGCCGCATGCTTTGGCATGGAAGCCCAACCACAGCGCCACAGGGGAGCGCGACAGCACGTAAACATGGCTTGAGTTGCTAACGTTCTGTCTTGACAGCACAAACAATACCACCTTTCCATATGACATGGTTGTAGCCCTGAATGGAGGTGGGCGCACGGGGAGAAGCATGGCATGCTTACGGTCAGGCAAGAACCACCGCAACAACATCAGCAACGACATCAAGAGGAGCTACACCGGCAGCGGCAACGAACCACCATCACATGAACACGCTCCTTGTAAGTAGGCTTTCAGCATGCTAGGCTTTGGAAGTACATGCCCTGTCCGCTGCCTTGTCTGCATTGCGTGCACGCGTAAGATGCCTGCTCTGGCCAGGTGATCGTTGCCGTGACGTATACACGGAAGGCAGTGAGGGCTGTCAGGTTTGTTGCCGGAGATTGCCAGACTTTTTCATGGTCTTCGTGTCTTTGTTGGGCCGTTGCCAGCTCGCACCCTTCCCAATCTCTTAGTGGGGCGCGGCATGCCCGGCCGAAAGCAGAAGCCACACACCCCAAACAAGCACAGGCTGCCGCAGAGTTATCCCAGCGGGTTCGAAAGCTCGCAGGGCCGGCCGGCAGCAAGGCGCACAAGTGACAAGATTGGCGGATAGATGTGTATGCACGTATATACAGTCATACACGCATACATACACACACACACATATACATACATACACATGTGAATACACATGCACATACACATATCTCTACAATTGTGACAAGAGTGCGACATAGTCCATAACATATATGTATATACGTCTGTCCTACACACTGATATGTATGTCTGTCTGTCCGCTTGCCTGCCTGCCTGCCTGCCTGCCTGCCTGCCTGTCGATCTGTTTGTCTGTATGTCTGTCGGTATGTATGCATGTATATGTCATGTTATTTGTGCATACAGATAGGTTATGTATATATAGATATATATGTATGTATATATATATATATATATGTGTGTGTGTATGTATGCACATACAGTTACAAGCACACACACATAAATGCTGGGAGCACTGGGTATAGGTCATAGTTAACATCAACAGATTATCTAAGCTGGTAGGGTAGGTTGCCTCTATAGAACTTTGAATGGGTTGTGTCACACTATGCACGTAGCCTCTTGATACATATATAGATACATATATAGACATATTGAAGAATAAAATAGCATGCATGTTATTTGATTGTGATAGATTAGATAAGCTAGAATAAAACGCGATATTAGACAATCTTGCCTTGTATGATGTTGTACCACTTGTTGTTGTGTGAATTGCCGCAAACCTCGTCTGACTTGTCGAGCACGAGTGACAAAAAATGATATTGTATTACGTCATGAATGATGACATCCTGTGCTTGGGTGGTAGGTCTGGATCAGCACTGTGCACGGGCTGGCGCTGAGGCTGGCAACCGCCCGTCGTTCAACGATCTGAAATGTTTCGGACGGTCCGCGCAAGAAGATACGGATGGTAGAAAACTTCTGCTTGCCGCCAAACATGGAAGCCTATCATGAGAACCGCTAATCTTGGGGGTTTATTGAATCAGCCTCTTCAACATTTTGGGGCTTGCTCGCTGTTCTGGCAGGCTCTTGCGCGAGGCTGGAGGCGTGGGGCAGCAAGCTGCAAAACTTGAGCAGGGACGGAGCCATCTTGCCATGTTTACGAGCACTTCAAAGTTAACATATGCACACTGAGAGGCCGGAGGGGGTTGCCCGGCCGTGCAGCCTCAGATCAGGACGAAATGCGCCGGCTGCACGCAACATATTGTGGGGTTGGGTGGGGAGTCTCCGCAACTCTTAGCTACAGAGCGCCCGAGGACATGCCAAGCCAGTCAATATACCGCTCGGAACACGTGCCTTCAGGGAAGCCGTCGGCATGGCACCTGTCGTAGCCATGCAGAGCCGAAACGAGGATGTGGTCAGGATGGGCTGGCAGCGCTAGTTGTCTCCATCCCATGCGAGGATCGCCGAGCTGCCGCACGAGTGGTGCTGGAGCAGCCGGAGCTAGTCCAACTCTTGCAGGCCCACATGCTGAGCGAATGCAGCTAAGAACCTCCTCCCATAGCCGTTGCAAGTAAATCTCTGGCTGAGAACGTGGCGAGGCCTTGCCAGAAGCCGCCATGGAGGACTTGCTTCCAACGAAAGTCGGACATGTGCACGCTCATCTGCTGGATCCCCGATGTCCATACGACAGACCCAACTGGGCAACAACGTGCCACCCCAGGCAAGACAGGACCCATAGAAGCAGATGATGTGGCAACTCGTCCACAGGAAGCGCTGCAACATGTATGATGTGTGGAGAAAGCGAGAAACCCAGCAGCAACAGGCAACACGGCACATCATAGACTCAGTCCTTGACCGTGACTGCATCGTGTGTCGAAGCTTCTGTTGGGTTCGAGCATTTCCTTGGGTGTGGAGTGTCGAGAAGTGTACATTGAGTGACATAGAGGCAGACAGACAGCCCCGCACAACTCGGCAACTATGGATGGGCCGCAATTGAAGATCCGACATGGAATGCATGCATGAATGCAAACCACAAGTGAGGGCTACACGAGGGGCAATGTCGTTTGTCCAGCTTTTCGGTCAAGGATCATTGGCGTTAACGTGTTTACGCTTTGGTAGTCGGATGTGCAGACTGACAGGAGAGCTGTGGCTGGGAAGATGCCGCGGCCGCCGCAGTCTCGGCCCGAAAGGAAAGGGAAGCGGCAGGCGCTCTTTGGCACAGTGGCCACATGGCCAGGGCACGAAGAAGGGCGATCCGGCGGCGACGTTCTTGCGGGCCAGGCGCCAAAGGCGTCCACTTCGTATTCTGCGACGTCCTTTGAGGGGAGCTAGCGCCGAGGCGATGGAGCATGTCGGCCGCCAGAAGCGGGAGGGAGCGACGGGCTCGAAGGATGCAGAGAGGAGTCGAGTTGCGCCTAAGCCGAAGATGCCGCAGATGCCACGTGCTCTCTGCCTCTGCCAGGTCGGTCTGGAAGAGCAGCCTCTGCTCGCAAGCGCACACGACAGCTTCTTGCAGGCAGATCCGGATCGCGGCGTCCATACGTCTGCGACATCTGATGTGGCCGTGGCTTGTGCAAATCCAGAGAGATGAGTGTTCCAAGTCACTTCGGCCGGGACCGAGCAGGTTCATGTTGCCAGCACCCGCCTTTATAAATGTCGCATACTCGTAGAAGTCATTTTGAAGTGGTCATCTGCTCAAATCACGAGAAACCAGTCGCCGAATCTCGTCTAGCACTCCCTGGATGGCCAGGAACTCCGACGGCGGCGTCTCATGGACGTCTCCGAGGTGATAGCTTTGGCTTCGAGGCCGGGAAGCATTTTGCAGCGCTGGCACGTGCTGGCACCGGATCCAAATTGCATGTCACAGCTTGCTCGACGACGACGACCACGGATCTCCTGGACTCTGTTGGGCAGCGGGCTTTGATGAAGTTTCGAAAGAAAGTCTCACACCAGTCTGGCGTCACAGGCCGCGAACTTCGTGCACAGGCTCTTCGTGGACGAGTGGCAGGAGCTTGTGTTGACCAGGGCACTCATACGGACCGATGGGGTTCGGCGAAGAGTTGCGCAGAGCTCCCACTATCCTCGGAGGATACAGACAAAGAGCAGGCGCAATTCCTGGCCAAGCTTCTTGCCCACCGCACGACTGTGACAGCTGTAGGCCTGCGCTGAAGCTTTGCAAGAGCGTAGCCATAGCAGCAGAACTCGCAGGAGACGACGACCAACGCATCTATGCTTGGCGCAGAGGTCAAACCAGCACCCCCGCTGAGGCATGCCTCGCAACTTAATTCATCTTTATGTGCACAAACAGGTCGCGCCTGCGCTTTCGTTCCGCAAACTCGAAGCCAGGCCTTTCGTTCTCACTGGCCTCAAGCACAGCTCAAAACCTTGGGAGCCAACAAACGCTCCCTGCCGGCGCCCCGAGCTGCTTCGGTGCTCCTTGACGAACATGTATTCAATGATGTCAACCGTAAGACTCTGAAGGCCCCACCTCGTCGAAGCCTCGAAGAAGCTGATCCTCCACAACCGTCAGCGTGAGGAGAAAGAGTTGCGGTCGCAGACCCGGCTCTTTGTAGCGTATCATGTGGGATGCTCGGATCTTGCAAGCAGGCGCATGTGAACCACGGAGCTGCAGGCCTGCGCGTCCGGCAACTGTCTCCGACGGACCTGCAGCACAGGCCAGGCCGGCAGTCCAAGTCCAGGTCGAAGGGCCTATGTCAGTGCTTCTTTGGGGGTTCACACGAATCGTCTTGGTCTGCTGGGCATGCTTTTCCCCCTGTAACTGTACTGTACGGACAAGAATCCAAGAACCTGTTCCAGAAAATACGCAGCCTTGTGCCGCCAGTTGTTGTGAAGGTCCAAGCATTTGCCAAAGAGACATTATCGACCGAAGTTCGCTGGGCTGCGGACGAACTTCGAAGATTGCGAGGCGTGGGGCTGGAGCGGCAGCGTTAATCAAAGCCGAATAAGCTTTCCTATCATCGCACAGACGGCGCTCGGTGCAGCGTCTACTGTTTCCGAGTATTCCTGCTTGACTTACATCTCCAGTGCAATACAGAAAGGAGAAGGCACTTCGTGGGGTCTGGCACTCGACAGCGAAAAGCCAATCTAGATCTAGATACATCAAGACCTGCTTGTGAGCCGCTTGTGCAACCCGAGACCAGAAAGTGCAAGCCTTGACGAGAGGCTCCGAAGTGCCCTTTCCACCGAGGCTCATTTGCAGTGCTGGCGCGCACGAACGCTTCAGCCTCCTTCGCGGCCCAGGCCGCGTATGGTCTCAAATTTGGCTCTAAACACGCAGTCCGGCATTGACTCTTCGTGGTGTGGCAGCTGTAGTAGGCCCTATCTCAGAAGCATTGTCGGAGGTGTTTTCCCAGATGAGCATTCCAACTTGGCAATCCACTGCGACCACCCGCAGCAGCAGCAGCCTCAAGCCCAAGATATCCCCCAGCAGATGCTTCCGCAGCATGCAAGGAACCTCCGGGGCGGCCCGCGCCTCCGTCGTGCGTGAACCCAGCGAACGACCAGTGGGCTGAGCTGAAGCGAAGGCCGAAGGCGCCGCCGTCCCGAGGTGCTCGACTTGTTCGCGTACCTGAGGCTGGTCGTGGACCCGCACCATGACGTGCTCAGTGCTGAGCTGGTGAATGCAGACCCGGGCCACTGCTATCTCGGAATGTGGCTGAGAGTTTGTATTGTCTGCACATTGACAGGTATGCAGCTGAGGAATGGAGCCAAATATAGTTCCTGGCCAAGTGGCTGGAGCCGACAGGGCGAGAGTACAGCTGAGGTCGTTCCTTCGTGTCTACAATGTTCCTCGTCGTGGTGTCGGCAAGGACGCGTGGCCATAAGCCATGAGGATTCGTGAGAGTCAGAGCACTGTGCCGGGTGCCGTGTGCCGTGCGAGGCGGCCCTCCGTTGCCTGCGGGAGCAGTTCGGGGCCCCTGCCAGGCCTGCCGGAAACGGGTCGGAGCCCCAGTCGGACAGGCTCTAAGGCTCCAAGAGATCGCTGCTTCGCTGCCAGGGCTTCATCTCTGGATGGACTTAGCGCCCTCAATCTGCAGGAGGTACGGGGCAGTGGGCGCAGGGACGGGACTTTGTTCTGGCAGGCCTAGACGTAGAAGGTGGAACCCTGATTGGTGCCGCTTTTTAGGCAGCACTCTCTCTGCCTGCAGGTGGTGTCCCGTGCAGCTAGCCTTGCGGCTTCGACAAGCGGCGGCCAACATCTGAGTCAATAAGGGGGCCGATACCGAAGATTGGCTCCAACTGCTGGTTGCACATCTAGCCTGACGACAACGTGTCATGCTGGATGCGAACGAGGTGCCCCTGGTGAACCAGCCTCTGGATCCCTTGAGGGTGCGATGGGACGGCTCTTGAAGGACCGGAGCTTCAAAGCCGCACTCACCCACAATGGGTGAGGCTGTATTCGCAGGCCCCGTGGCTGGGCGCCAACGCCAGATCCGCACAAGGCCCTCGCCCAAGCAAGTCTCAAGCTTACACCCGAACCCTAAACAGGCTATGGCATTGCAGCATGCTTAGCTGGGGATGACGGAAAGCGCCTTCGAGTTGTCGGGCGAAGCCCAAACCCTGGAGGGGGGCGGGGGGGGGGTAGGATGCGCGAAAATCCGCATTGTTGGGACAGCATTCGGCTCCAAGCGTAGCTGCATCGCGTAACCCGCGTTTTCAGAGGTATTTGCGGCGTTTGGCGATGTTCTTTCAACAAACTCCGGCGCCCTGGAGCGAGCATCATGCGCATCAGCCGTGCCCCTTGGACGGCCTTGGGGTGTCCCGCGCGCACGTCTTGTCAGGGTCGTTTCGCGCAACTCCCGGCCGGACCACTGATGCGCATGATGCGCGCCCGCATCATCAGCATCAGCTGCACCCCCCGTGGCCGGCATCTTGAGCATCAGCTGCACCCACATCACCACGCTATGTATTCTTGGTGGCCGTTTCGGGGATTTTTAATTTTTTGGTGTTTTGTGGGGTTCATTGCATACAACCAACTGCAGCCTTCAGGCTCGAGGGGTCAGACCAGGCATCAATCCAACCAGGTGTTTCCAGTGGAAACACCTGGTTGGAGTTGATGCCTGTCGGGGGATGCACGGACATCCCTCACCCCTGCAAGATGTCTGTGGTCCCACCACCGACATCTTGCAGGGGTGAAGGATGTGCGTGCATGAACCCCGACCGAGGCCCCAGCGTGCATGGATAGAGACATCCATCACCCCCGCAAGATGTCTGTGGTCCCACCACTGACATCTTGCGGGGGTGAGGGATGCCCGTGCATCCCCGACCGAGGCCCCAGCGTGCATGCACAGACCCAGAACAATGCACCAGGCTCGGTCAGACCCCAGCATGCATGCACAGACCAATGCACGAGGCTCGGTCAGACCCAGAACAATGCACCAGGCTGGGTCAGACCCCAGCATGCATGCACAGACCCAGAACAATGCACCAGGCTCGGTCAGACCCCAGCATGCATGCACAGACCAATGCACGAGGCTCGGTCAGACCCAGAACAATGCACCAGGCTGGGTCAGACCCCAGCATGCATGCACAGACCCAGAACAATGCACCAGGCTCGGTCAGACCCCAGCATGCAGGTCCAGGCTCAGTCAGTCAGACTACAGTAGGTGGTGGCTCCAAGGCTCCCAGGCTGCCAGGCTCAAGGCCCACCCCTAACCCGTGCCGCCATGTCTTCATGGACTTCGTCGTGATCACTCTTCGGCTGTGGCCGCAGCCGCAGCCGCAGCCTCAGGGGGGGGGGGGCAGGACGAGAGCAAAAATCATATTATAGCATGACATGCAATGACAGTCAGCTGCTTTGACTTGCGATTCCTGTCACGGCGGCTCCCAGGCACTTTAGGCTCCCAGGCACTTTAGGCTCCCAGGTTTCAGTCAGTTCCACTGAGGTTTCCTGCCGACGGCCGCCGCGGCTCTTCGAAGACAAGCCGCCAGTTTTGCATTTACCCGTGGAGTGTTCCATGCATGCCTTGAGTGTTTGCCGTGCACCACATGCAATCAGAGTCAGCTGCTTTGACTTGCGAGTGTTGCCACTGGAGTGTTTGCCGAGCACCACATGCAATGACAGTCAGCTGCTTTCATTTTAGGCTCCCAGGCACTTTAGGCTCCCAGGTTTCAGTCAGTTCCACTGAGGTTTGAACACCTGCCGACGGCCGCCGCGGCTCTTCGAAGACAAGCCGCTAGTTTTGCATTTACCCGTGGAGTGTTGCATGCATGCCTAGAGTGTTTGCCGTGCACCACATGCAATCACAGTCAGCTGCTTTGACTTGCGAGTGTTGCCACTGGAGTGTTTGCCGAGCACCACATGCAATGACAGTCAGCTGCTTTCACTTTAGGCTCCCAGGCACTTTAGGCTCCCAGGTTTCAGTCAGCCCCACTGAGGTTTTGAACACCTGCCGACGGCCGCCGCGGCTCTTCGAAGTTTGAAGACAAGCCGCCAGTTTTGCATGCACCCGTGGAGTGTTGCATGCATGCCTAGAGTGTTTGCCGTGCACCACATGCAATCACAGTCAGCTGCTTTGACTTGCGAGTGTTGCCACTGGAGCGTTTGTCGAGCACCACATGCAATGACAGTCAGCTGCTTTCACTTTAGGCTCCCAGGCACTTTAGGCTCCCAGGCACTTTAGGCTCCCAGGTTTCACTCAGTTCCACCGAGGTTTCCTGCCGAAGGCCGCCGCGGCTCTTCGAAGACAAGCCGCCAGTTTTGCATTTACCCGTGGAGTGTTGCATGCATGCCTAGAGTGTTTGCCGTGCACCACATGCAATCACAGTCAGCTGCTTTGACTTGCGAGTGTTGCCACTGGAGTGTTTGCCGAGCACCACATGCAATGACAGTCAGCTGCTTTCACTTTAGGCTCCCAGGCACTTTAGGCTCCCAGGTTTCAGTCAGTTCCACTGAGGTTTGAACACCTGCCGACGGCCGCCGCGGCTCTTCGAAGACAAGCCGCTAGTTTTGCATTTACCCGTGGAGTGTTGCATGCATGCCTAGAGTGTTTGCCGTGCACCACATGCAATCACAGTCAGCTGCTTTGACTTGCGAGTGTTGCCACTGGAGTGTTTGTCGAGCACCACATGCAATGACAGTCAGCTGCTTTCACTTTAGGCTCCCAGGCACTTTAGGCTCCCAGGTTTCAGTCAGCCCCACTGAGGTTTTGAACACCTGCCGACGGCCGCCGCGGCTCTTCGAAGTTTGAAGACAAGCCGCCAGTTTTGCATGCACCCGTGGAGTGTTGCATGCATGCCTAGAGTGTTTGCCGTGCACCACATGCAATCACAGTCAGCTGCTTTGACTTGCGAGTGTTGCCACTGGAGCGTTTGTCGAGCACCACATGCAATGACAGTCAGCTGCTTTCACTTTAGGCTCCCAGGCACTTTAGGCTCCCAGGTTTCACTCAGTTCCACTGAGGTTTCCTCCGACGGCCGCCGCGGCTCTTCGAAGACAAGCCGCCAGTTTTGCATTTACCCGTGGAGTGTTGCATGCATGCCTAGAGTGTTTGCCGTGCACCACATGCAATCACAGTCATCTGCTTTGACTTGCGAGTGTTGCCACTGGAGTGTTTGCCGAGCACCACATGCAATGACAGTCAGCTGCTTTCACTTTAGGCTCCCAGGCACTTTAGGCTCTCCCAGGTTTCAGTCAGTTCCACTGAGGTTTTGAACACCTGCCGACGGCCGCCGCGGCTCTTCGAAGACAAGCCACCAGTTTTGCATGCACCCGTGGAGTGTTGCCCCTGGAGTGTTTGCCCAGCACCACATGCAATGACAGTCAGCTGCTTTGACTTGCGAGTGTTGCCGCTGGAGTGTTTGCCGAGCACCACATGCAATGACAGTCAGCTGCTTTGACTTGCGATTCCTGTCACGGTGACTCCCAGGCACTTTAGGCTCCCAGGCACTTTAGGCTCCCAGGTTTCAGTCAGTTCCACTGAGGTTTTGAACGCCTGCCGACGGCCGCCGCGGCTCTGCGAAGACAAGCCGCCAGTTTTGCATTTACCCATGGAGTGTTGCATGCATGCCCAGAGTGTTTGCCGTGCACCACATGCAATCACAGTCAGCTGCTTTGACTTGCGAGTGTTGCCGCTGGAGTGTTTGCCGAGCACCACATGCAATGACAGTCAGCTGCTTTCACTTTAAAGGCTCCCAGGCACTCTAGGCTCCCAGGCACTTTAGGCTCCCAGGTTTCAGTCAGTTCCACTGAGGTTTTGAACACCTGCCGACGGCCGCCGTGGCTCTGCAAAGGCAATCCGCGAGTGTTGCACGCACCCGTGGAGTGTTGCCCCTGGAGTGTTTGCCGCGCACCAAATGCAATGACAGTCAGCTGCTTTGACTTGCGAGTGTTGCCACTGGAGTGTTTGCCGAGCACCACATGCAATGACAGTCAGCTGCTTTCACTTTAAAGGCTCCCAGGCACTCTAGGCTCCCAGGCACTTTAGGCTCCCAGGTTTCAGTCAGTTCCACTGAGGTTTTGAACACCTGCCGACGGCCGCCGTGGCTCTGCAAAGGCAATCCGCGAGTGTTGCACGCACCCGTGGAGTGTTGCACCTGGAGTGTTTGCCGAGCACCAAATGCAATGACAGTCAGCTGCTTTGACTTGCGAGTGTTGCCACTGGAGTGTTTGCCGAGCACCACATGCAATGACAGTCAGCTGCTTTGACTTGAAATTCCTGTCACGGTGGCTCCCAGGCACTTTAGGCTCCCAGATTTCAGTCAGTTCCACTGAGGTTTTGAACACCTGCCGACGGCCGCCGCGGCTCTTCGTGAAGGCAAGCCGCCAGTTTGCACCACATGCAATCACAGTCAGCTGCTTTGACTTGCGAGTGTTGCCACTGGAGTGTTTGCCGTGCACCACATGCAATCACAGTCAGCTGCTTTCACTTGCGATTCCTGTCACGGTGGCTCCCAGGTTCTTGAGGCTCCCAGGTTTCAGGCTCCTGAAGCAGGAGTCA